TCTCAGAAAAATATGTTTTAAATGCGGTTCTAAACGACCTCGTCAACTTAACAAGCGTACTAGTTATTATTTTCCACTTGTGATGTACCAATGACCTTTTTAACTTTGAAATAATTTTATCCACATCCATTAAATTTGTGGTGAACTGAAGTTTAAATTTAAACTGTATATTGCTAAATTATCTGTCAATTACATTAGTATGAGATATCTCGATTTCTATTTTAAGTAACTTTGATTTTACAGGATGCAGGACATTTTAAGCCTGAACTGAATATTAATCTTAGAACCTAAGATCAATGTTCATTTAGGTCATGACCTTTATTTATTTGATCGATAAAAGTCAACTCTTATGACTTTTCACTGGTGGTTTAAAACCCGGATTAAACTAATTAGTCAGGACTAGTCTGAAAACGATTAAACAATAAAACTGATTCCAGTAATTGTGATTAGTTTAAAAGTGGATTGTTATCTAACATATAAGTAACACAACGAGTTCCTGATGTTAGTTGTTGTTTTCTATTTACAATTTAACCACACACTCAGATGAAATCACAAAACGAAGAAAGGCTGCAACGACAGAAACGATAAAACGGTAGACATTTTAAACCAAAACCTTTAGTAAGATAACGCTACATGAATACACACAACTGATAGTTCAGAATGAGCCTTTTAATAATCACACGGATAGCTTAGTGAAATGTCAACTTAAGGCCCTTTGAATATCTACCAAAATGCTAGGTCAGTGAAGTGCCGTAGAATTTTGCCTGAACAAAATTTGAACGCCTTCATCCTAAACTTTTTAATATCTTAACCTTATACCATCTAATGAGGACAATGTATATCTTAGAAATAGGTTTGACTCACGAACTCACAGTTCCGTCCGGTTTCTTTTCTATGTATCCATATTTTTACTAGCTTGAAGACAGGTTATAATACGGATTGCTATCACTATTGGTTTGGTCAGAAATAACTCTGACACATAAAGCAAACCAGTAATCCACGCGATATTAACACAAACTAAACACAACCGTAAAGTACTGCTTGGTTTTGGACACCTCACATGTATTTAGATAGTCAAAATATGGATGGAACTCACTTGAAAAAGAATGTAGACTCTTACTTTACATCAGTTGAATAGTTTAGCAACATGTATTCTAGCTGAATATTGCTCTACAAGTATTTCATATTTGAATAAACGCTCAGATGTAAAAGCGATTAACCAAGAGGTTGGGTATCTCATTTTATAGCTACTTCAGCGTTTTTTTTTCGATAATTTGCCTTTTTTTATATCTCACGTTAATGAAAGAGGATAAGTGCATTATACTTAGTTAATGTATTGAAATAGCGTTATTCAACGACACGAGGTTAATTTTTGTTACTACATGATTCATATTTACTTAAAATGTATAGTAATATCGATTTATTGAGATGAATTTCAATATAAGGTTACAGATGTATACTGCTCGAGGGACCTAGTTCAAGTGATCTCTAGCTAGTGCATATTATTTTCATGATTAAAGTTAACTTTACAAGGAGAATAATGTTTCTACGAAATTATTGCTTAAGATAAAGAATTACATCAATCTAATTGACCTGAAGACCATTTTCACTATCTGAAAAACTAACAGAAATCAGTAGAGAAATGGTAACTGTTACACATTCTCATTTATGTTGATTCCTTAGCAAACGATATATCGTAAATATATAATTTCTTTTTCCAATAAATTACTATAAAACCAGACGATAAGAAGTCCTGATCTTAACTCTTGGAATATTTATCTCTTTATCGCTCATGCTCTTACAGAGACTTAGTTTGTCGTTTCAGTTCTAAATAAGATTATCAAACAATCTACACTAAAACTGGTTTCACATTATACTAAATTATGTACATAAGTTTGTCTTAAGTCATGAAAATCAGTTCAATTCTCAAATCCTGTCAAACTGACAGTCAATCTATATTCTATGTTGTGGGTTATTCTCATTACTCCTCTTATCGATCGACATTAATCAAAAGTTAGAACTTAATATTTGCATTATTTCCATTCCATAACTGCTTCACATAATATTATATACTTGTATGAATTTTAATACATTTTCAGAAAATGTGTGTATTTTGTGAAGTATAGAATAATATTGGAAAGAATAGGACGTTTGCCTATCTAATTAAGAGGAATGTATATGCACATATGAGTGAATACGTAATACACGATATAAAATAATAATGTATATACCACAATAATTAAATTCATTTATCCGCACTTCACTTAGAAATTATTTGTTGATGATCATTCTATAGAACCATTCATTTTGTAATGTAGCTAAAAAAGTTTAACTTAATGAAAAGCAAAAAAATTCTAGATAATTACAACAGATTTAAGATTTCCAATAAAAGACAACTATTACTGTCATTCTGTGTGTAGAACATACATACAAAAATTGTTAGTCTCCGTATCTTAAAGTTTATATGTTGTACATTCCTCAGTAGGTACAATTCAATTAAACTACGTACTTTTGTACAGACTGTTGGGATAGATGTCAGTTTCTGCCTTAAGCTTTAAAATTTAATGTTTTTTAGATTGTTTTGTACACATCGGTTAGTAATTTAACTTTACTATGATAGAATGAGACTGTAATAAAAGTGTTGTTTCGGTTGGTGGCATTCCTAAGCCTCATTGATTGTTTTGTGATTTCTGTCTTCATTCTGACTGACAATTTTGACTGGATATTTATTCATATTGGTGATACATTTAATTTCATAGTATGTTCAACCAGTCAGTTGGTCAGTAGTTCTCTTAACAAACGAACAGTTTGACTAATCTAATCACTTCATGACTTTATCGGTCCCGCGGAGTGGAATCGTGGATGCGCACTGATGAGGAGTCTCATGCTAGAAAAAAACGGTCATCCAATGTTTTCAGGTATTCCATGGTGGTCTAGCTTCAATTGACTCATGAATTCAACTATTAAACTACTAAAATCTCCACAAAACCCTCTTCTAAAAATTTAATTATTGATGACAAGTGAACAATGTTACTGATGTTTTGGTGTTGTGCAAAGTTAGACAAGACGAATGACGTAAGATATAAATGTAAAAAACGCAGTGCTTAGTCCTTGAATGTAAGATAATGTTAAAGATGTAATTTTCATGGTTGGGTGTACTCACTATTTAAAACAAAAAAAACACAGTCACCCAGATTTATCTCGTATTACTAAGATTTATTCAATTTAGGAAGTAACTTATATTACAGTGTACCTCAGTGTCAACGAAGTATACTAATTAAGTTACCAAACTTTCTATTCTGTCTTAACTTTTTCGGATAACTATTGGTTATTTATACAACACCCTAGATAAAAATAATATTCGAAATACACAAATGCCATTTAATTTGACTGATGGATATTTGTAAAGAGATGGCAAAAAGAATTTTGAAATTTTCTCATGTAGCTGATCCCTTATCACCTGGGTTTATGTTTGGTGTCAAGGACTCCCGAGTAATTTTTAGAATTTGTACACCGAAATCATAAAAAATATCCGAAGTGATGTTATTATTGTGCCATTTAGAACCCATTAGGATCGTTGCAAGAATGATCAGTAGTCATAGATGTTAATGACGATTCTGAACCGCCGAAATCTAGATCCCAGAAGCTCTGGCGAATATCTTTTAGAACTTAAATAAACTTCGTTTATTTATTTTGAAGTACATATGACAAAATTGATATCATGCTTCGAAAATGTTTTGTACAATTTAGTACCAATAAGAATTCCACATTATATAACCCATTACTAATCTATATGATTTGCCTGAAGTTAATAACTCTTCAGGTCAGTAGAAGGATCTTTTACTTCAAAGGATGAATTTTGGAGAGATTTCAGTTTCATGCATAAAGAACCATTGGGCTATTAGTTTCCATCCCTTAGTTGTAGTGACATAAAGTGAAATTATAATGAAGGCCTATGGTATAAAAGTAAATTTTCCACGTTCTTATGTTACGAAAATTGTACAGGATAGGTTGTGAATAATGTTGAAATTTTATAGTACTTATTAGATACTGTCTTTGCTTTAGTTAAATTAATGAATTAAAACGGCAGTGTAAAGCTTGTTATAAATTATGAAAGAACATTTAGTTCATGAACGATCAACAAATCACAAATGATGCAATATCTTTACAAATAAATGATATATCCTTAAGCTATCAATGAACAGCTAATTATCTTATAAAAGCGTATATATAGTAAACTAATATGTGATGCTTTCTTTTATCAATCTCTTGATACGGGACATCTATATGATTATGTGACTGATATCCTCTTACTTACCTACGTACGCATTTTACCCCTCGTGAAGAAGGATAGGCCATCCACTAGCATTCCCCCTTGTGTTAATATTTATTCTTCGGCTTTTTAAGTGGTCATCTTATATACTATAACTCTGTTGTAATTTATCCAATGCATCACCATCGTTCCTACCTCAACTAGTTATATCCAAATTGAATTATGTCTGACACTTCTCGAGCTTTGTCTTTTTTCTCTTGCTTTATTGCCATCTCTTATAAGTCTAAGGTGGTCTATTGGGTTCACGATATTAATATATTCGCTTTCATCTCGAGTATTAATTATTAATGACACAAGTACCCACATACAAATGTCAAAATCTAAGAAAAACCATTACTTGACTACGCTCTAAAGCTAATGTTTTGGAAATTCAAATAAGTATAACGGTTCACCGTTCGTAAGATTAGACAACTATTCGTAAGATTTCAAAATGCAATTTGATTATGTCAACTAACTTATGTATTATTAACAGTAACCAAAGTGAAATGTATAGCTAATACATTACATCTTTTAGAATAAAATACATCGACTTTAAAACTACTAATTAAACATCTAAACAATAAAAGGGTACATGAAAAATGAAAGGAAAGAAGGGAAAAAATGAGTAGAGTAAGGGAATTGTAGTATGTACTGATTTGTCTAAAAAAAGACGTTGTTTAAAGGAATATTATAGTTCTTTTTCAATTTCAATCATTTTAGCAACACCTTCTGCCATTTCATGAGCTGCTTGTAATTCAGTTAAACCAAGACGGCGCTTATTGCTAATATCATATGTACCATCGGGGGATTCTGTATGTTCACCATAGAGACCTTATAACGTGAAAACAAAAACAGAATATCTCAGTAATATGGAGTGATATTAAGAAATTTTTAAACAAGGTGATACACTTCACAGATTAACCTTATTTGGGATACTTTTGAAAACTATGAAGCAGTGGACGGTTGTGCAAGATATGAGGTAAGTCACTAAAATAAACAATTCATTAACTGTTTACACGTTTATACACTAGGCTGTGAATATAAAACTCTAGTATTGATTGGAACCCGAACTTTTCATCGAAATATATCTTTTAGAATCATAATTTACGTTTACCCATTTCCTGTATAATAGAAACTGATCAGCAGTGAGAATCATAATACCATAACAGTTAAATTTTAAGGAGTGGTTATATAATATCAGGTAGGATGAACTGTAAGCAAGTTTGCCGGTTTCATTGTTTCAAATACGTTAAGCTTAAAACTGCTAATGAAAGAAAATACAAGTTTAGACCTATTCAAACATTGTCTTTAACCATTCATTATCAAATATATTTAAATTTGCTGAGGAGTCCCATACTAGGATGAAGCGGCCATCAAGTACTTCCAGGTTTTCCATGGTGGTCTAGCTTCAATTGACTCATGATTTCAATCAGTAAATTATATTAAGCTACTACAATTGTTCCTTTAATCTACAAAAATTCGGAAGCACAAAAGATTAAAATATTACCATGGTTCATATTCGGCTATCCGTTTATATACTTGACACTTTAAATATGAATCTTCTTTACATTTAATAATTAAGAGCTTTTTTATTAACAAAAATGTACTCCGAAAAAATAAAGAATCTGATGTGTGGGCGAGAATGATAATGAATTGGTTGTCTGCTTAGTTAGATATGTAGATAGTCTGACAGGTGTCAGATGAGTTATATATTCCCCTATCCTTATGATAATAATTATCACCGATTGTTCATTGTTATTGGACTGTGTCAGGTTTTGGTGTGGAAACATATTCACGTTCTAGTCAGGCTAATCACTTGTTCTTGATCTGAGTTGTGTTGACGTCCTGTAGAATAGGCACTGGGAGGGAATTTAGTGTAAATATTCGTTTCAGGTAAATTAACATCTTATACGTGTAAACGTGGAAACCCAACCGTTATAACACTAGGCGAAGTAAAAGTGAGCGTTATAACAATTGGCGACGGGGTGAAAAACAAAGAACTAGGGGTACAAACCCCAAGTTATAACAGAATTATGCTTTGCTTTCTAATATTAAATGCTAATAAACAAAAAACAATAATGAATACCTGACTCTGAAAAATAACATGAATGATAACAATTTTTTTCAGTGTTCTTTTTTGTTGTTGATAAAAAGTGCTAGGAATACATTTTTACATTGCTGAATACGAAAGAAGATATTTGTTTTCATTAAAATTTACTTAATATGTAACTAAACAATACAAATCTCTGTGATGCGTAACATTAACTTTCATGAATCAATAGTAGCTTCAAAAAGTTGATTTCATTTTCTAGGCATCAGTAATGCGTAAGTTAAAAATTTATAAAATATAGGCTACATACAGCGTTCGGTTGTTCTCTACAGTGTCTGTAACACAACTAATGCTTGGTGCATTTTTAAGAACTAGGTTATAAAATATGTACCCAGTTATAAACTGTTTGTGTGCCTGTTCAAACAATATCCTATAAGTCACCCGTAATAATCACTACATTACTGTTAGCTTGTTGATCATAAGTCATAATCACGCAGTTTGAGTTTAAGACAGAAAATATAATGTAAAAGAAGGTACTTAGTGTAAAACATTTAACAAATTTACCTCTAGCTTGAAGCATATACTTTGCACAAATTTCATCCAGTTTTTTCGGTTGAGAACTAAGTTTTGGTATCTTTAATAATACACTGGCACGCATTGATGTACCTAAGTTTGATGGACAACAAGTTATGTAACCATATTTATCACTGTGTGCAAACTTCATACTCTTTCCGATAGCATTAATTCCCTGTTATGAATTAAGTAAAGTAAAACTATTAGAAATTGATCATTGTGAATAATAGTGTAGGTATAAATAAACTTCTTTTCAGAAAAAAATTGACTTATCTTAAGATACTAAGATCTTTTAGTGCAACTCGGTAATTTAATTGATCAAAAAACTCGGACCAGATACGATGACTGTAAATTCATCTTAATGGCAGTCATTGTATGGATTCATTGACCAGTGATTAACTTGTTTTATTAAAATAAGTCATAAAATTTAACTGCATATTTTCAGTTTATGAACATCTCTCCTACTTCCTCTGACTACCAGATTTGTGGAGCAGACTAAATTTAAAGAAATCAATTAGTTAATCGACCGTTGCACTTAATGACTGAATACTAGAACTAACAAGTCATAACTTTATCAAATCTGAGAAATAAATTAAGCTTTTAAGAAACATCTGAATGCTCTAAGAACTGTCAAGAATCACGGAGATTCTGAGACAAAACGAATTCATTATACTTTTCCTCCTTATCTGAATGATCGATCACTAAATTTTATTTATTGAGTTAAGTTAGTGCGAGAGCTGCTTGTTATCCTTGAGGAATATAAAATGCAATTATTTTCTGTAAAAATTGCGCGAGCAGATGAGCGAGAGGATTTTTAGGACTTTGAATTTTTAGAGTGTGTCAAATGAGTAGAAATCCCATATAAGCAAACGTATCAACGTGATTAACAAAGATGTTACAAAGACAATAGTGTGGCCAAACAAGAGTTATATTTGTAAAAAGAAGTGAGCTGAGAGAGCTGTGCTGTGAGTTTAGTTGCAGAATTTAAAAATTTTTAGGCAAAAAGTCAGGAATTTTATGAGTTAATAGAGAGTATTGGATTAAGGAGTTTTTCGGAGTTGGTATTTGAATTTTAAAGTAGTATATTTAGTAAGTATTTATTTGATATTTGGTTGTGGTGAGGTAGTGGGGGTAGTTGGGTGGGTGTGGTAGTGGATAGTGTTGATGAGATAGGTGGGTGAAAAGAGGTTAGTGTTGAATAAAAGGGGTTGTTTAGGAGTATTGTTTTTAGATTTTAGTGTTGAGTGTAGAGTTTTTAGTTGTTTTGGGAATAGGGTAAGATTTTAGTTGGTGGAGGTGGGGTAAATAGATAGAATTGTTAAGTTGTTTAATATAGTTGAGAAAAAAGGTTTGGATTTTTATGGAAGATTGAGGAGGAAATTTAAATGGTATTTTTTAAGGGTTTTGGGGTGTTTTTTTTAATAGGAATTGTAATTTAATTGTAAATAAAATGGCATAGTTTTATAGTTTATTTTTAGGTTATGAGTGTATTGTGTTGTGTATGGGGGGGATATTGTGGATTTAATTTTGGAAATGGTTTTGTTGTAATACATATGAGATATGTTATAATTGAGGTTTTAATTATTCTAATAAGTTTGTAGAGTAGTAAGACGAACATTTTAAACGTATCTTTACGACAATCTTAAATCGTTTACCTACAAAATGAAGCTTTAAAGACAGTTTTTAACATCTACATTCATCGTAACACAAGTGTACTCACCTTATAAAATAACTCTATAATCTACTAACTTTAACGAAGACACCGATCCTAAGTAATACTAAAAGAAACTCGAATTCCCACTTGAGTTGACATTGCTTCCTCTTTTTGTTTATTATCTCATTTTCTCCGTCCCTTTATGCAGTGATGTCGGATCATAGGTTAACTATGGCTGTCCAAAACGAAATTTGCTAAATAGTAGTGTTGAAATTTTAATCACTCAAAGGAATTAAAATAAGTTCACACTTACGGATCATCATTTTTAAATAAGAAATGGTCTTCAACTAGTTGTTTTCTATCTTCCTCTTTCATATCAGTTAATGGATAGTAAGTCCCAGCATGTTCGCCAGTAAGTCCTTTCAGTGCTCCGGAAATAACTTGTTCTAATTTTATACGATCAGTTTTGCTCATAATTGTTGGGAATAAAAAGCCTTCAACACTACGACCAACACGGACACGTGTAGAGACAATGTATTTACCTAGAAATAGTGTAAATGGAAAACCGATGTTATACTATCAAAAGTAATGATATATGATGTCAAGACCAGTGAAGCCGCCTAAATCCCCAAAACAAATTAAATAAAAAGAGGTTCTAGCCTGCAATACAGTAGTTGAAAGTTCAATACTATAATTATGAAACCATCATTCTCGTGCTCCTGAATATTATTTAACTGTAGATCGAAAGATCTATTACTAGTTCCAGCCATGAGAATTTAGTGCACTCTCTCTTAGAAATGGGGAGGCATTCAAACGTAGTAAACAGTGGAAGTAGTATATTAACACGATTAATCGATATCCCAAACTTTCGAGTTAGAAACCACTACATTAATCCTGGCAGCATAAAAAGTTACATACCAGCTGGATCTAGGTCACCGAATGGAAGCTTTGACAAGTCACCAAATGTGGGCGCAGGATGTTTAAATGCAGGATCTTTCACGCCGTGATAATCACAGATCAATGGATCTAAGTAATCAATGAACGTCGAATAACATTCAGCTTCCCCGGTTCGTGGACATATTGAACGATGATTGTATGCACCTATAAAAGAAATTTTGAAGAAATTCCGTATAATAACTGTTTGGAAAGTAATATAAACCACGAAATTCTACTGTATAAGCAAAAGCAAATAAAATGACCTTTTGCATTCAGCAAATCTATATAATTCTTAGAACCAAATGAACGTATTAACTAATTATCTCGTTTTATTATTCATCACTTAATGAATTGTTTGTAGGTCAGTTATGAAAGTGTAAAATTAGTGATTTATATGGTCTTTTCAATATATACACGTAGTTTAAAGTGTGAATCTTTTGAAAAATGATTTTTTATGATTAAATAATGTCTGGGGTGATTTTCATGGAACAGTGAATGGAATAAGCGAGACTCTCAATTAAGGTGAAAGTAAAACGCATATCATGGAGATTTCTTTGAAAAAAAAAGGATTCATTGTATGAGAGAAATATTTTAAGAGAATAAACATCTGGAGATTAGTGTGCTAAGCCGAAATTCATGAGTATATTTGGAAGGCTGTTAATGCCATTTAGCTAATCGCACCTTGACAGATAGAAAAGGGGTCAAGCCAGTGACTCGGTGATTGAAGAATAAAAGTATAGAGCGCTACGGATGGTAAATGACTGCTTTGGCTCACTGTAGTTAGTACAAACACTGAAACAATAAAACTGGATTGGGACCAACCCAATAGAAAAAATTGGGGTTTTATTGCGAGAATACTAGATAGGTTTGACTGATCACGTTATTTGTATGAAGTTTGCAGCTTAGTTTTAAGTGAGAGTGAAAATAAATTTGAGAGACATATAGGGTATCTAACAGCTAGAATTGTTACTCATCTATCTAATTTAAATAAAAAACGACATATGTTTATATAAAAGTCACATAGGACGGTTGAAGCATCCTACTAAAATCATCCACCGATCCCAATTGGTTAGGAGGAAGCAAATCAGCATTTCTAGCTCATTTGTAGATGTTTCTAATACCTTGCATTTTAGTATACTGATATTTTCACTTCTTTTATCATACACTATTCCATGATGTGGAAATAAAGATTCAACTGAAGCTATAAGCAGGGTATTACCATCATCACACTCTGATCGAAATGAAACATAAATATTCAGTCGACCTGATGTTCGCCACTTTCAACTTTAATATTTTTTTATTGTAAAACAAAAATGATAGGATTGGATTTATAGCTGTAGAGCCTGATGAAGAAGTTATCGGAAATAGTCGTTCACTCTAATACTTTTTTGTTTTCAAATGTTCAAAACTATTCGACATCATTTATTTTAATCATATGGGATTACATTGATGCGCATGTTAATTAACAGATTGTTCATCTCTCTAGATAAAATTAATCGAGTTAAAAGCACTACCACTTTCCCTGATTTTTTTCTGTTAAAATGTATTTTAATGTATAATATAGTTTATAACTTAATCTACATTTTCGCAAACAGTCCTTAGACATTTTGTATGTTTGTTAATCTAACAGTTTATCAGACTTGTTTCTCTCATGTGTGCACAATTTTTGTCCAAGTTGATATATCCATACAGTCTCATCCACTTAGCCTACAGTTCAGCAGACACAATCAACCACAGGTCATTTATATGAAAACTTGTTAAGATTTGAAAGAAAAGTAACAGAAATTGAGCACCAAGTATGCCAGAGATATATTAAAATATATTTGAAATAATCTCATAGACTAATGTAAATAATTCAAACATATTTCCCGGATACATTGTTAAGACCTGTAATCAAAAAACCAAGGGTAAATAGTGTCTGGAACGAGTTTATGTTAGAGCTTGCCTAACAATCTCTAAACTTTGCCTTCTAGTGTATAGTATAGATGTGAGTCAGTTGACATGGAATATTTTGAAAATGTGAAATGCATGAGACATTGTTAATAGCTTCAATAACTGAATGATAAATCATTTTGACCCGGTTAAATGATCATTTAGTTATCACTTATTTTAACAACACAACAGGAAAATACGATATGTTTAGGGAAAGGTAAATTATTCGTCTGTAACATTCGAAAAATTGGACCGTATGGTGATGGTAGTTGGCAGGAAACTTTAGACCTAGGTTTCGTGCTGTTTGGCACTCGTCCACAAGACCTACCTGTAATCTTGAGGGAACTGATGCTCTCTGACTGATTCTATTCCGTGCCACGCAGCTTCACAGTGAGAGACGTGCCGCGATGTGCCTACTGTAGGATTGATATGTATTTATAATTTATTGACCAGTGGGTAGTTACCAACGTCATATATGTCCTCCAACGAACATTAATGCCCTCAAGATAACGAGTACGTCTTAATGATGAGTCCAAAATACCATGAAACCTAGGTCTAAGGTTTCCTGTCGACTACCTCCAACCACCACCTTACATTTAGACATGGTTTACGTGATGTCAAGCCACCTAGACTAATGGCCACATTGCAACTTAATCGACAGGATTCGATCTGCGCTACGGAGGACTTGAAGCATATGACATTGCTCACTGCTCCACGATCAACCAATAGTGAAAACTGAACTTCATTAGCGCTATATATATAGTTTAATTGTGGGGCGTCCATTGTTCTTCTGGACATCATCAGCACTTTTCCTACATGACTCAAGTGCCCATAATGTTGTCTATTAGAAGCTCATCAGTTAAATGATTTATCTGAGAGAACTCAGTAGCCTCAAAATGTCTCGAGACAGTTCTGATTGATGTCAGAAAAAATTTGAGGATTTATAGTAACCAGAATCAAATACTTTAGTGATTAATGAAGTTAACCAGAATTGCCGTTTTATCTACAAGAGAACAGATCAGTTAATCCCATGTAAAGCCAATTAAAAAAAAGCCCCATACTTGGTAATTGTTCGGAATTATAAAAAAAACGAATCGTTCTTCACATTAATTTCATAAAAGCAGCTTACCATTGCGTATCATATGAGCTAGGGTAGCACCGTGGGTTGTTCGTTTTCCATCATATTTTTTAATTATTTCTGGTGTCAAATATTTGCGAGTATAGCACTTTTCGATAGAAGCACCTTCTAGCAGTTTGGCCAGGTAAGTTAATGGTTCAACTGGCATAACGCCCTCTGTAAACAGGATCATATTAAGAAGAGAAATTATTTATGACAGTGACACACAACTGTAAGCTCTCAAGAGGTCTATGTGAGTGAACTAGTTTAATAAATCCATAAAACGAAGCTAGTACAGATACTTCTCGCTACAAGTAGTTAAAGATATGTTTAACATCAATATGGACGGTAAGATATTTTGTGGTACATGTTTCGTAATTTTAATGTTACTTAGGTCTGGCTAAGTGAATTAACTTTAGGACTGAAAATTAATTTTCGTTTAGCATATGAGATCAGCCCAGTAAATCAAATGTTACTGAGATGTGACAATGAGGTCTCAGTGGGTAAACTTTGGAATTTGCCAACTTAATTGACATTTAAATGATTTATGGAGCAACCGCATATTCGTTGGTTATATATCTTAAATTAAGCGATTATTTAGTTTCCATATTCGATCACATACAAGATTAAAGGAGGAGATTAAGAGAACCACAGAATATGAATTTAATCACAAACAAAGTCGTTGGATTATACTTAACAGTAGATAGCACTAAACCTGTTAGCGGGACATAGACTGGATTAAAGCATGCTCAATGCACGATTGCATTGGTGCACGCTGATTGGCTAATTCTTATCTAATCAGCACTAGTCGATACTTGGAGAATACTCTGGAATCTTCTCATGTGAAAAACTATAAATATACTAACGTTTTTCCCTATTGCTGCTGACTTGCTTCTTACTTCCATCTAACCTTCTTATTTTGAATATAATCTATTTCCTGTTCAACCATGTTCTGATTTGGGGACTTGTCGAGTGAATCGGTGTTCGAGATTACTAAGCAATAGGAATAGCTGGGTCATAACCGTAAGAAAGAGATTATAACAAAACCCATGTTTACGGCCTGACCTTACGTATCACTATTTCGAACTATCAAGTATAGCAGCTTCAGTATGAAGCTTACTTGACGAAGCCCACTTATACTTAAGAGCTAATGAGGTTAAAATTGGTTACTACTTGGTAACCGAATCCTGTGATGGATTTACAAGATTTCCTTTAGCATCACATAATGAAGAATTTAATGATTATTATTATAGCTAATATGAATGAAGGAATATAATTATTAGATGATAAATCAAACTGTAATAAAATGAATCACAGTGGTACAGACATATCCATTCTTTATATCCAACTAAACTCTTAACAAATAATTACTTTCTGCTCTCCCACATGCTACCACTGACAGGGTTCAAAACAGTTATCAAGTAGACAAGATTCGAGACTTTGTTAATATGAACGAGTGGAACCTTAATCTATAACCGACAGTCGAGTCTTTCGCGGTCAATGAACTCATGAGGTTGAGCCATTACACCTCAACAGAAGGCTAGATTCAGATACTTCCAACTCAAGGACTTCGTTCCTACTGTTAGGTTTTTGTATCACTGTACTATTCAAATTGAAGCGACTTGAATAAATGTTGTTATGTCGGTATATAACTTCATTGGTTTACTTCTAAAATTCAATATTTTTAAAGTGTTTATTAACCTATTTTCCTTGATTTTCTTTGGTACTATGGCTGAACAATATTTACGGTCTAGTATTTGTAGTTCGTATGAGAAAGAAAAGTAACATGATAGTACTAGCTCTTAGCTCCTACCTATTACAACACATGAGGAATATACGTACAGATATATACTTTTTACTAAATACCGTTGAAGCATACCACTAATACAGTCAGTAAAAACAGCAATTACCTGGAGCACCTTTGTTATATTCTTGTAACATAACTTCAAGTTCAAGTAAAGCTCGAACACCGGAATGCATTTCAGTAACAGCATCAAGCTCACTAAGACCAAGGCGACGTTTATTACTCAAATCGTAAATACCACCAACTGACTCAGTGTGTTCTCCATGAGTGCCACGAGGCTGTATACCGTGCTTTTCACAAATTTCCTAAGGATTTGAATTTTTCAGCAGCAAAATCAAAGTATTATTACCAACACTAGTAAAATTAACAGTCGGGTGTAATAACTTTGTAGAATGGAGTTATAAGCAAATGAAGTTAGGTTAGGTGAGAAAACCTGGTCTGCTTTGTTCCAGTTTGGGGTTTATTATAACGATATTCATAATATTTTGCACAAAAATATGATTATTAACAAACCATTCGAAGATGAAAATGAAATTATTATCAAAAACGTAAACTGATACAGGGTACGACCGAATCAAGTCCAGATAAGGTTTCGCTAATAGTTTCATGTATACGATGTATACAGGTTCACTCAGAATATTTAACTTGAACACATTTCAGTCTTAATATAAACGATGAAAAATTTATGAGAGAAACTGTGTTTATTGTTTCAACATAATTTAAAGTTTTACTCAGTGCAATTTTTTCGCTGATCATATCTGTGAAAATCTGGTTTATTTGCCATTACATAATGACTGGCTCAATCGTAAGTGGACATATGGATTCCCTCACAAATGATTAGTCTCTATTTGAAACAAAGGATAATATTAAATTAAATGCTTGCATTATATTTTTACCTCTCATTTACAAAATGGAATTCCATACTGAAATACAAAGCACTCAGAAACACAATGCTAACTAACCTTGAAATTCGGTAATGAAGCCAGCATAGGGATTTTCGCATGTACACTAGCTCTTAGTGTCGTACCCAAATTAGATGGACAAAATGTAATAAACCCTAAACGATCATTGAATGCGAATTTCAGTGATTTGGACAGTTCTTGTATTGCCTGTATAGATTTCAAGAAAACATGGAGGGCAACAGATGATGGAAACCAATTACTAAACATCACAGACTTAAACCAGTGACAAAATTAATTAGTCATATATTCAAATCACACGTGCTAAGCTATTTGTGATATAACGTTTTTGAAATCTGTTTATTGTATTATCAAGTTGCTTTCCCCCCCTCATAGAAGATAGTGACTGGAGTTGACTATCAATCTCGTGGGCACAGCTCTTCAAATACTTCACTTTCAACTACTTGGCTGAAGGTCCATACCCCGACTCACTCAACTGCACTGGTTATTCAAACTTTACATTGACATGTTCACTCAAAACTTAACATCAAGTCTGTGGCACACGGTTAGCAATAACGGACTAAATACAGTTAGGTTACTTATGTGATAAGACAAAGCTTCAGCCTTATCAAGTCAGTCATATCTAAATCCCTGGTAGTATTAATTGGTTAGTATTCTGACTTTTAAACCCGTAGTGATATGTATGTTATATACAGAGACACTCAACAAAGTGTTAGAAGTTGCACACATTTACTATGGAAAAGTATGCCGAAATAAATAAGAATAAGTTTCTACAAAATTGTAAAGTTTTCAAGATTTAATCAGCGAGAAATTCATATTTGTTCTCCATTTGTGTTCATTAAATAGACCACTCTGAAATCATGATTGATATCAAAGCCAAACGAAGATTCATAAATTTTTTTTCTATACTGGTAGTCGGAAAATCTACCAAGGACTGATAAAAATCCTTGTCTAAAAAAGAGACCTAAAACCGAATAGATAATAAAAAAACTGTAGTTATGTACGAATGGATTGAAAGTTCCAGTAAATTTCTTCCACATATCTACAAGAGGAAACAGATCAGCTACCTTGAACCCTTTCCGCTTCGTTAAAAACAAAATATTTGAAATAAAAAAGTAAGAACTTCAAACTGTCTTCTGAATCCACATTGCACGAGGCTACCTAGTAAATGAATGCATTGATAAACAGACTACCAACCAAGTACCGACTAGAAACTTTACACTTTGTGACTACTCTTGTCATTTTTCATATATTATATGATTAATTTTTTCTACACGTTTATTATTCTTCAGCTTCGGGTTTTTATCAGTAAGGTTTAAGCTTTTAGCTTAAAAGTAAAATTCTAAATGTATAAAAACAGATGAATTATATAGAAATAAATATAATAAACACTTCTAAAACCTACACCGGCCAGTCGTTTGTAAACTGCGATTAAATCACCACCCTTTTGCATTGAAATGACGCGAATGTGATCCTCTTCGTTAATCCAGACCAAAAAGTTTTTTTGTTTGTTTATGAATATACCGCGACCCGTTGGCCAATCAATGTATCCACCAGCATCTTTAAGAACACTATGAAAGCAGTATTGAAGTTAATAAAGATAAAATGAAGTGGCAATATAGAAACACAATTTTAGTAAATGTGTTCTTAAAACCAAATCGTCTGGTGGGCCAAAACGAGAACTTGATCAAGATATTATAAAATGCAAAACAAATGACAATAATAAATTAAATAGTACGAATGGAAGATGGGAGATGTTAATTAACAGTTAACCAAATATTTGAAAAGAACTAGCAAAATGTTTGTTTTTAAACAACAAATATTAACTTAGAACGCAATTGTGGGAGAGATGGAACATGTGCACGTTTTGACCAGCTATTTTATTATTTCGAGAATTTGGTGGATTGAAGGTGACGTAGGGAACCTAGGTACTTGAAGAAAATGCATACAAGTGTTCTTTAATGTGCAAAAGTAATTACGTTATATGAAAATCAATAGAATTAGTCCTTTTTTCAAAGTGTTGACAGATAAAAAGTACAGCTCTGAGTCAAAATGCACATAATCATATCTTGAAAGTAATTGAATCTCAAATAATCGGATGAAAGTTTCATAACTTTATCGAAACAAAATCAACATTATAATGAGTAAAGAACAAAGTTTCACTACGTGGGCAGGTATTCATCTTGAAATAAATCACCAAAAAAATGTTTCAAAAATGTAATACCGTAGGTTAACTTCAGAAAGTTTACGTACTGACAAATAGAATTATCGTAGAAACTTTAAATTTAAAATTTGATTCAACACAGAAAAGTGATCATACCAGTATACAACTTGACAAATACATTTTAGCTACAACATACTTGTCATCGTTTCTGAAAAGAAAATGATCGTTCACTAGTTTGATTCTATCTTCCTCTGACATTCCTGTCAATGGATAATACGTCCCTTCGTATTCGCCTGATAAGTTACGTAGAGCAGTTGAGATCTAAGAACAATAAGGAAATGAATCAACTTTTCATGCTTTAAAATTACGGATTTTGTAGGCATAAGTTATACGAACAGAACTTACCTTCTTTTCCAACTCAATTCGAGTGTCTTTGGTTAACGTAGGGCCAAAACCAAACCCCTCAACCGTTCTACCTAGGCGAACTCTAGTAGATACGACTAAATTGCCATAAGCATTTAGATCCGTAAACGATAGACTCTTGAGGTCACCAAAATCTGACTTTGGATGTTGTATTTTGCCATTTTCCACCTGAAAAAGACACTCCATTAATACTGAGGATGACGATGGATATGTGAGCACGAGCCATTATTAATAGTAAAAGATAAGGCTGAACAAACCTTATGATAATCTGCAATCACGGCGTCAAAGAAATCCCTGAAAGATTCATATGCATTTAAATCGCATGATCTTGGCAACAAAGCTCCAGGGTTATAAGCATCTGCAATTTAAATAATATACACCCGAAGGTAACGTAAATTAGATAAACGTACTAAAGGTAAACAGCAAAATTTATAGCGCTCAACTGGTTGTGAGATTACGGTAAAAAAAGCCAATGAATGCTCGTAAGAAAGTGCGCTAAGAACTAATTAGTGAAAGTATAGAATGTAAACTAATTTTGGTCTTCAACAGGGACTTAATCTGGGTTATTGATAAATAGGCTTGTCTCGATTGCATGAATGATTTTAACACATACCTATGATCTTAATTAATAATGAGACGTTTCCACTATGCATTTTCCTGACTGTAGTTAGGACAAGTAATCCAGAAATGAGTTGTATGTCCGTGCAATGAGAAACTTAGAACACTGCTCAAGATCCAAAACTGATAACCATAAGTTAAAATAGTACCAAAAATTCTTCAAATGTATAAAAATTGGGAAAAACTACAGAATGAAAAAGCAGAAATCATGTAGAAATCGTTGGATGGTGAACCAGTTCCGTGAAATCAGACGTCAAAAATAGTCCACCAAAAAAATGTTCCTGAATCAACAACTATACCACTCAAACATAATTACTAATATCTACAGTTTTGATTTCTCTGAGATGCAAGTCTTCAACTTATATTGAAGATAAAACTACCAATAAACGAAGTGAAAAGACGCGAGTTTTAGTCAAAAAAGTTCTCACTTGTATTCACACACTGAGCTAGAGTCCCACCCAAGCTCGTTTTTGTCGCCTGATATTTGTTGACAATGTCATCAGTTAAATATTTTTTGGTCAGTGAGTGATTACGTTCATCATTTCTAATTTTAGCTTGGAGATTGTGGAGGCTCTCAACCTGCATGTTGATTGTGCACAGAGAACGGATTTCACGAGAAACAAATACCACCTGGATAAGTCGTACAACTTTTATAAATGTACTAGTACATGTCATATGTTTTCAAGTCCATCGAACTAGTAAAACAAATTTGGTCTACATTGATAATAATGTTGTATATCAGTGTTTGAATTTGCAAAAACGTGTTTGAACGGACAAAAGATTCGTTTTTTTTAAATATCCTAATTTTTGATAGAATTGAAAGCTATGATGCTAATATATGTAGAACATGCCAAAGATACTGCAATACACAGATCTACTTTTCAGCACCTCATAGGATTCTTCGTGAGGTTCATCATCGCGTAGCAGTAAATAAATCCCCAAAATAAATAGCTCTGTGGGTTTTCGACATTGGATGCTGACCATATGTTTTAGTAGATTCATCTGGCTGAAGGCGCTCGGTCATGCATCCGCACCAGATCACGTGTGGTAACGCTGTGCTCAACATCTACCGCAATCGCTAGCCAGATTAGATCAGAGAGTTCCGATATATCGGTAATCGCCAAATACACTCTTCCGATCTCCTCAACTCTGTCTTTTGATTTCTCTCGGTGGGTACAAATTATATTAGGTGTTGCTGGTAAAAGCGTTGTCAAACACTGAATACCTGTGTCATCTTCAATCGTATGGAAGTAGAAAATCACAAATGTGTATTCTACTATTGAATGATTAGGATAAGTGCACAGACTGACTGCAGTTGAGCTAATGCACTCTAGTCAAATACGCTGATGCTTACATCCCGCCTGAGGTAGAAATGCAGTTCCTTGTTGTGTAGTGAGGATTGAAGACTCACTAGTTCCCTTAAAAGTCGAGGGTCTGGAAGTAGTCGAATCTGGTCACTCTTCACTTACCTTTGTCTTTAAGTGGTCATTTGTTGAAGATAGATCTGCTGCTCGTCAAAAAGGAGTGAATCTGTAATCTCACTTGAAGGGCAAAATAATGTGGAAGCTTTTTATTTCAGTCACATTCATTAGTTTGACTAGGTTTCGAATGTAGCGGAAAGGGTTACTGATGAATTGCTGCAACGTTATCTATCAAAGTCGGTACTCAGACTAAAACGACATGAAGGTTTTTTGAGACAGATCACGAAATACAACCCTGTTTGTCACCTAGAATCCTATAGTGGGTCAGTTCGTAATAAGCTTTTTAGACTTCTCAAAAACGTTCGACAGAAATTTCTGTGGCATTCGGTTTGCGAAACTGAAAAAGCCAGATTATTCAAGAACCTTGATTTGGTATCTACAGGTCTACTTCTGTTGTTAGAATATAATCTTATTAGTTTGGACAATAATTTCAAGTAAAATACTTCCCGGTTCTGAACTTCAAACAATTCTAGTCTCATTATTTATCAGTGATCTATAAGTTGACCTCGAGCTTAAAATTCGGAAGACTAAGTAATATCTACAAATATGTCATCTCCATCTTGACAGATCATAAGGCTGCACGAAAATGATGAAAAAAATGTACTCAAACCTGCCAATTTTTGAATTCTGAAAGGATCTTCGATCACGAAGGGGTTATGGAACACTGTTTCATTTTTATTTCACTTGTCATTTTGAATTCGGAAGACTATTTTGGAACATCGCTCTATTTTGGTCGATCTGTAACAGCTTAAGTTGATTAGTTAAGAGTCCACCTCAAACAACTAAGTATATTTCAGAACAATACAGCCCAAGTATTCACTCACTTCTTTATTTCGTAAAGACATTATACTTCCTATTATGTTATATTGAATGTTGAAAAGTTTTGTGTAGTTCAGCAGGTAATCCCCGACTCCACTATGACTACCCCACCATTCAAATAAAGACCTATTCACCGCTAGTCTAGTGTCTTCTATCAATAGTTAGCCCTTACAGGCACGAAAGATGCAGTATAATATGTTAGGCTGAACCAGTCTTTGATAAGTTGATTATTAGATCTTGATGTAACGGATGACTCAAAATATTTTCCTGACTCTCATGTATACTGAGAAAATAAAATTGCACGATAATGAAACTATTCATTTTACATCATATCCAGGACTCACGACCCAGAATACAATAGAGTAATCCCTCTCTCAAAAATAATATAGGATCTTTATACTGCGATATTTTGAACAATTTTATGACCTCAATCTTAATTATCTCATATATTACACATTGGTAATGTATGGTCATTCGGACACACACATTGACATATAATTTGGTGTTTTCCATCATTTGACACTGACTCCCGTTTTTCTTTATTTAGGTTTTATCAGTTGAACTCAGGGAGTATTTTCCACTTTTGCCAATATGTCTCCTAGCTAAGATAACTGTATTCATCCAGACTTCGAATCCCAGGTCTACTGAGAATTTGTAGCCGGAAGCGATGATATACTAACTGACATAAATGGTCATTAACTGAATGTTGTCCGTAAATTCCTACTGTGATAAAAATCATGTGTGAGTTTGTAGAATTATGGTCTACTATGATATTAGTACTGCTCTAATAATAGACCTAATCCTAAAATTGTAGATCTGTCATGATGTAACTGCCTAATCTATAAGATCTTACGTGGACGTTACTTCATCGTCTACATCAACTCATTGCATCATAACAATTACCAATACATGATGTAGAACAAGCTTAGGCTAGAGATAGGACAATATATTTAATATGGTTAAAAGATATAAGATAACAGGGACTATGCCTGCATGGCCGAGTCATGCCTTTCGATCAACTCCAACTTATTCAATTCCATGGGAATGAAGATTGTGTGTTTATGGTCCAATGCCACTACTCTACTCTCCCACCAGAATCAACGTGATGTTGGTTCGATACCAAATTGGATGGGATCGTCGCGCGCCGGAGGTTACCAAAGATAATAAGAATCCTCCGGGTATTGGTAAGCTGAAAGATAAATCAAAAAGAAGGCGGCAGCATGTGGTCGGGTATTACATGTAATAATTTTAAAATATCTGCCCTCATGCTTAACACGCTTAAAATGAGAATTTGGGTGGAGATTATTTAAGCCATAAAAAGTGGGATTACAATAATAATAATAAAACGATGCGCGTTAATAGCCGTTGGTTAATAATTTAACGTATAGGTAGTAAGTATTTTGTGTTTAGAAATATTAAAGTAATGAATATTGTAGAAATGTTAATATTGGTGTTAGTTTTGGTTTAAATTATGAAATCAATTTACAATTATTCCGGTAACCTGTCCATACGTGATTTCCAATTGCATCTGTATTAGTAGGCTAACTGAAAGAACAAAAGTATTACCACGGAGAAGAATTCTAACTAGCGTTCCAGTTAGTTTGATACGGTCTATTTAGTTACGGGGAGATTTTTTCAACCTCATTTTTACTTGACCGTGATAGAATTTAGTAATACTACTAATACACATGAATGTTTATCAAAACAAAATTTAAATACGTGAGTGATAATTATATGAATTTTGGACAGATAGCCAGGAACAAATCGTTAAACATGAGTGTATTCGTAAGAGACATGCTCTACACTCAATGTTCTGATCTGCGGCAGACTGTTTATTTATATTTACACTTGCCGGCTAATTTGGCATACAAGTTGGTTGCAAGTATGCATTTATCATAAGGCGGAATACGATTTAATTGAGATCCGATCAACTCCAGTCCATTCAATTCATTGTTCGCGCCTTCTCCATCGTTAGATGTTTCTCCGTGTTAAATATTGAATGTTTATTTTCCGAGTAATCTCGTATTCAGCTTTGAGGATTATGTGGTTATGGTCCAACGCCACTACAAGTTAACAGTGTTCCTATGCAAGTAGTGGCACTAATGACATCACGTAAACTGTAAACCGTTAGTGTAACTGAACAGTAATACGGCTCAAAATTCCAATGTAGTGTAGAAGGGCCTTGAAGGCTGTTATAAAAATAATATGACCCTCAGTCAGTGAACGATAAAGGGGGAAGAAGATATGAATGAGATAGTTTCTCTGAGTAACAACAGTACTGTATTATTCACTCAATCAACCATCCCCATTTTATATTGTTAAAGATAAACAATAGATATGGGACTCAATTATGATCACATTTAAACTTGCTTAGACATATTACAGTTCATTTAGAAGCGTATGCCGCCCACGGCCATTATCCACACAACTCTATCCTCCGCTCTTCTTTACACTTGTTTCTAGTTGCTATTCATCGTTTTCCCTCTACTTCCAATTGCCGACGTGGGATGTTCTTCGGCCTTCCTCATTTTCGTATCCATTCACGATTCCGAGTTAGTGCTTGCCTCGTGATGCAGTTCGGTGATTTCCATAATGTGCGTTCTATTCACTTCCATTGCCTCTCCCTCATTTTCTCTTCAGATGGAAGCTTGTTTGTTCTCTACCACAGTACGCTGTTCCTGATGGTATCCGGCTGACGAATACTGAGTATCTTGCATATACAACTGTTTATAAACACGAGTGCCATTTTGATGATTGTTGTAGCAATTCTCCATGTCTCAGCTTCGTAAAGTAGGACTGTCTTGAAGTTCGTATTGACGTTTTTTACTTTGGTATTCGCTGACAGTTGTCTTTATTTTCATAGTTTGTACAGTTGTGGGAACGCAGCTCTTACTCTGCCGATTTTCTTACCCACATTGTCAAATGCTTTTTTACAATCAAGGAAATTGATGTATAGTGACGGATTCCATACAACTGATTGTCCAACGATGATCCTTAGTGTCACATTTTGATCTATGTACAACCGACCCATTCGGAATCTAGCCTGTTTATCTCGATTTCGGACATCTAATGGGTCTTTCATCCTGTTGAGCAACAATCTCTTGAGAACTGTTCTTGCTGCCGTTAGAAGTGTAATATCTGTGTATTTTTCATATTTTCTCAAATCTCCCACCTTTCGTATCTTGACGAGGTATCCTGATTTTCAGTATGTCATTGGTACTTGTTCCTCTTCCCAAGTCTTCCCGAATAGAAGGTGGAGCATGTTTGAAGTTGCTTCTATGTTTAACTCCCTGAATTCAGCTGGAATATTATCAGGCCCCGCTGTTTTCACACTCTTGATTTGTCTGATGGTCACAATTGATTCTTTCGATAGTTGGTGGAGTATTATGTATAGATAGGTAAGGCTTGTTGAAGAGTTCCTAGATGTGTTCCACTCATCTGTTCCTCTGTTCGTGAATCTCAAAGATTGTCTCGCTTTCTTTATTCATGACCAGTCTTTTTTGGCTCACTATATTTGTCTGCCAGTTTGTTCGTTGTCGTATAATCGTCTTTTGGTGGCATTGGGCCCTAACCACACAATCCTCAAAGCTGAACAAGAAACATTTGGGAAAATGGATGTTCAACATTTAACGCGGAGGAAAACTCAACGATGATGAAGGCGGAAACAATGAATCGAATTAATTCGAATTGAGCGGATGACGTGGCTCAGCCTCGCGGGCGTGGTCACTCTCTACAACTTGCTTTTACTCATATTAAATATATTGTTCTGTCTTCAGCCTGAATTTGTTCTCCATCATACATTGATCAGTGTATACAATGATGTGACTTCCACGTAAGATCTTACATCATAACAAATCTACAATTATGCGAATAAGTCTATTATTACTTACTTGCCCGTGTTACTCCTAATAGAGCATAGGCCGCCGACCAGCATTCTCCAACCCACTCTGTTCTGGGCCCTTCTTTCTACTTCTATCCAATTTTCGTTCATTTTTCACACGCCTGTCTTCACTTCTCGACGTAATATGTTCTTCGGTCTTCCACTTTTCCTTTGGTCTTCAGGATCCCATGTGAGGGCTTGCCTTGTGACAGTTGGGTGCTTTTCTCAATGTGTGTCCTATCCACTTCCAGAGCCTCTTCCTGATCTCTTCCTCCGTTGGGATCTGGTTTGTTCTCTCCAACAGTAGGTTGTTGCTCATAGTGTCTGGCTATGGGATACGAAGTATTTCGCATAGACAACTATCAGTGAACACTTGTTTCTTCTAGGTGATGGCTACCGTAGTTCTCTAAGTTTCCGCCCCATACAGTAGAACTGTATTGACATTTGTATTGGAAATTCTGACCTTTGTATTGGTTGACAGTCGTTTTGAGTTCCAGATGTTCTTCAGTTGTAAATATACTACTGTTGCTTTGCCTATCCGCGCCTTCATATCTGCATCAGATCCACCGTGTTCATCAATGATGCTGTCCAGATATGTAAACGTTTTTACATCCTCTAAATCTTCTCCGTCAATTGTGATTTGATTGTTGCATGCTGTGTTGTCTTGGAGAATCTTGCTTTTCCCTTTTTGTATATTAAGACCTACTGTTGCTGAAACTGCTGCTACACTGGTCGTCTTTTCCTGCATTTGTTGTTGCTTGTGCGATAGAAGAGCCAGATCATCTGAAATTTCTATATCATCCAACTGCATCCAAGCTGTCCACTGTATCCCATGCTTCCTTTCAGATGTTGACGTCTTCATGATCCAGTCGATCAACAGGAGCAATACAAATATCGAAGTAGATCATAAATTTACAGCTTCATATTTTCTTCTATTGCAGTTTATTCTACTGTCGTTGATAGGTGTTCCACATATTTCTCTTTGTCAACTCTAATGCCCTTCTTTACTTGCTTGTTTGCTCCCGCGTATCGAGCCTGTATCTTGAAATTCTCTGTTCTTGTTCGATTGTTGTTAATTTCTGTCGTCTCATTTCTCCTTTTTCGAATCTAAAATAGGGTTTCCGTAGAGATGCATTCCTTATGATGATGCATCTTGCGACCCAGGACCTCCTGACACGTTGAAGTTTGTGTTACTCTAATTCGTTTCCTGTCGTTCCGTATTGTAATTTTTTCTTGTTTGAGTAGATCTTGTAAAGCTTGGAACTTGTTGTTGAGAGCTATGTTGAATTGGTCCGGTTTACCTGTACATGGAAGGAAGTGTTAATTGAAACTTTGTTGTGCTGTTTTCCCAGTTGTCTATTGTTTCAGTAGCTTCAATTTGATCTTTGCAACCACCAGTTGGTGGTGATCTGAAGCAACGTGAGCAAAGAATGAATAGTTATCTGAGGGTCATTCTTCAAATCGCCCACTTACTTAACGTTTTCCTCCATCTCAAACTATGGACAATCCTGTAATATCTTTTCTTCCCGCCATTGCCTGCCTAATTTCCACTTTTCGAGTTCCGTTGCCAAACCACAAGGACAATATTTCAGAAACGTACGGTGAGTTTAAACTATAACTTTCTGCAATCATAAGGCCATTTCGGATGATTCATACACTGACAGCTGTATAATTATTCAGACTCTTCGAATTGTTCTGAATCAAGCGAGTGACAAGAAGTTCAACAGTACCAAGAACCCTGAAATTAATCGCAATACTGCGTGTTGAGGTTTTCGCTGCGTTTACTGTTGAATGTCTATTTTCCTCGTTGTCTCGTGTTCAGCTTTGAGGACTGTGTGATTAGGGTACAATGACACTACATGATCATTCTGTATAATCTGTTTTTATTCACTTTAAAATATCATTCTACCTTTCCCGAATGTATTCTTTGGAAACTTCATGCATTACATTTCTGATTGTTACGTAACGATGAGTCGGAATATATAGTGATGTGACTTTCACGAAAGAATCCATAAGTTAGGTAGTCAAATCATGACAAATCCGCAGTTTTATGATTATTTCCGTCTTCGTAGTGATACCAATAACGATTTGGACAATAATTCCACTTCGACTTTTTAAATCCTTTGTGAAATCGGGTTCGCTCGGCACTACCAAGTTCTTCACAATTAACGGAAGCTTTGTTGACGATTCTGATACTATTTCTGAACAATTCACCCAGCGTTTCTCGCGATGCTGCAGTACTGAGGCCGAAACCTTTGTCAATACCTTTCCATTGGTGACGTCTAGACATAAATTCGAAATTGAATTTAAATCCATCAACATCAACCAGACTATAACTTCTCTGAAAAAGCCCTGTGACGATGAATGTGTAGGGGTTCCTGTGTCATTTGTAAAATATGGTAGTACAAGATTTCCGATATTCTATTTAAAGCTGTTTAACTTGTCTTTGGATTGCGGACACTATCCATATGTTTGGAAAACATCGCTTATCACCCTTAGATTCAAAACAGGATTACGTACTGATATTGTTAACTGTATGTTCATTAACTTGACATCCACGCTATCAAGAACCATGGTAAAAGTCATCCACAAATGGATATTGTCATTTCTACTTTCAGCTATCCTGATTGGCCCATTCCAACATGGATTTGTAACTAAACGTTCATGCTTCACATCGTACCTGGAATTTTTCTATCAAATTACCAGAGGACAGATGTTGGTTCATCAGTGATAATTCTGTACTGCAACTTTAGTAAAAGTTTCGACAGTGTTTCACACAAACGTCTTCTAAATCGTTCTTTATTTGGTGAACGGGATCCCCTTTAATCCCGGTTTAAATCATTTCTGGAAGAACGTAGCCGAATCGTCCGCTTTGAATCTTGATACTCTAAGCCTGTGAATATAACCATTGGGATTATACAAGGAAGTGTGATTGGTCCATTGCTCACTTTTCTTTTTACCAATGACGTGTGTTCACTCTTTCAATACGGTAAATCATTCCTTTTTGCCGGTGACCTAAAAATGGTTTATACATTCCCTACTTTCACTAGCGGTAATCTAAAAAGACAAACAAGTTTTACGAATGGGCTGTGTCGTCTGATTCATCACTGAATGTTGATAAAAGTAGATCTGACTATGCACAGACATATACTGAAACCTTTCACAGTATCCGTTATAATGTTGTATACAAGGTGTATCTACCGGTTTCTTTTTCTTAACTAACTGAAAGCAGCAGAAAAGGAAACAATAAATTTTCTCAACTGCTGGCTATTCGTTTTGTACACGAGCACAGTGACTGGCAACACCGAACTTAACACCGGCCATTCTCAAACTATCTAACTTCTATACTTCTGTCGTTATTTGACCATTATTCAACTGAAGTGGACTCTCCTGATATGTTTAATTATGATTCACACTCGAAAATTTGTTTCACTCCGAATACTCCTAGGTATTCGTGTTAGCCACCAGGCCTTTTGTTCACTAGCCGTACTGAACTGTCTATCGTTCTAGAAAATGAGAGACCAAGAAAAGCTATTTTATTATCATTCACCAGTTAGCTGGTAAATTTAATAACTGGATGAACGTTATCGCAAAAGTTCAAAAGCTTTCGTCTGTCGATACTTTTTTCACACACGATTAGTGTGTCACCTATGTATCTACAGCAATAATCTGACTTATTTAGGATATTATTATCATTCACAAACAGCTTGTGGGTACTTGATTGTTATGAAGAAACGATTTCAGATCGCCCCTAAAGTCTGGTATCGTCTTTTTCAAAGATATGCCGTGAACAACTCTGAAATGTACATTCAGTTTTTTTGGGAAAAATAGGTTTTTTTTCCTATCTGGTTAATTGAACTCTTTAGGGCGGTAGAATCAGAATCCATTTTAGCGGCAGGTTGGATTGGTAGTCTTTGCTTTTCTCTAACATGTATGGGAATTCTGATTTCATTTTGTTCCATTCTATATTTTTGTGAATCTACGGAGTTTTTCGTTCGTGTTGGTTCTCGAGAACTCCTTTAATCTGTGTTGGACGTTTATTTCGAGGGAATTCCCTCTTAAGTGACATTTCTTGAGTATTGTTAGTAGAAAACTGGGTAATCGCACCATCAATCTCACTTACAGTGATATCCTTACCAAAGTATTGAGATGTTCCACAACAAGTGAAGTGAAGGCATGCATTGTTATCGTACTTGTTTATTATATGGTTCACGTTTTCGTGTCATAGTTTTAAGATTTTCATTTGCTGGGAAATAGTTATTACGTCTTGAACAAACGGTCACTTGGGAGCCTCATGCAAGTATTTTGTAGTCCTTTGCTGAAATATTTGGAATTTGTAATCAGTAGATATATTTTTGCGTAAATTGACGTTGAGTTTATTTTTGTGTCTGTTTTTGCTAAAACATTCCTCAAACAAAACAGCGGAGAAAATGAGTGGTAGATGAATTTGTGTTATGTTATAATCAGGGTATGTTTAGTGAAGTGTAGCGTCTACGAGTAGGGCTGTATGTCTTGGATGTGGTGAAATGATTTACTAGCAATCAAAAGGGACTGCAGGTCAAGATATCTCAAATCCATGGATATATTTCAAATTTCTTGACCTTGTCATAAAGTTGATCGACTAAGTGCTTTAATAAAAGGGGTTTTGTCAGCATAACGAAAAATAACTTAAATATAGATATAGGAAGGATTTTGACTGGTAGATTGGACTATGTGGGAGACGTGAAATTTTATATGGTGAACTAATATGTGTTCAAATAAATAAATAAATAACCCGAAAGGATTCAGCAACGCATTATGATTCAATAACTACTTCTGTATTTCCGACCAGTATTTTTAGTCTCTGTTCTTCGTTGATAAACAATGATAGTTTGTCTTCATTTAGGAGATTTGTGGCATAGTTAGGTAGAGGAGTGCCGTCTTTGATTTTGGTTAGTGACTAATTATTGGCAGTATTAATTGTTGAATCCATCAGTAATTACCCGATTCCATAAGTCTTTTCATACCACTGTATTGTATTAAACGTTTAAAAAAATCTTTTTACATAGATGTCCGCCTTTCGAAGAATAGGCAAAAGGCTTGTTTTGGTTGGAGCAATATCTGGCGTCGGTGCTGCATTTTTATTGGAATTTGTCCCCAGAGTTAATGAAGCCAGAAGGACGAAGGTGAAGTACTTATAACATTAATGGTTAATATTTACCATTAATTAATTACTAAACAAATCATTGCTTGTACTGACATGTTAGTGTTTGTTTAGAAACGAACTTGGGTGTTCATAAGTATGAAAATTCATTGTGTTTATGTATAGATCACCGAGTAGTAGCCGATATCATGTTTTGTTTTTTCTTAAGTATCAATATAATCCTTTTAATCAACTTTAGATAACTCATCACACTGACTGTTTCGAAGTGAAATGATTAGAGACAAGTGACTGTAAGATAATAGTATAATTTTCTTACTAGTTGGTGTTCATGATTCGTTTGTGCTTCAAGGCAATAATTCCTAACTCCGAGCTCGATAGCAGTGGGCGAGAGTGCTTCTTATTCTCTTCTCTGTCCGCTAACTATAGATTGGAGTACAAGCCTTCCCAAATGATTTGTGGAAAGAAACTAAGAACATTAAAATTATTCGAATACGTTCATTTATGTACAAGTTTAATTTCAATTGATTACTAGTTGAAGAATTTGTCAAACTAAACAGATATCGCAGAAATACTGCAGTCGGACATTAAATCGAGTCAATATCAACTTGACAAAAATAGCACTGGGTTAATTGATGCAAAAAGTGCTTTGAAAACCAATTGAATGAAAATTACTTCGCATCAATTACCCATCAGAAAGATTTACCTGCAGTTCTCAGTAACTGACACTCCTTGTGCAATGGGAACCCGCATCACTGTATTTATTTTTGTTTATTTAAACGCAAACATTGATATGAGGAGGCACCAAATGTGTATGCGCCACACTTCGTCATTCGATTTGTGTAAGGGCTGGGATACTGCCCGGGCGCGCAAACCAAGGTGGGTGGTCCTCTTAGGGGGCCACTCTCCAAACCTTTGACTTGGGGGTCTAATCTATACGGCAGTGGAGCAACGTAAGGAGATGCAGTCTCATAGTAGCCGGTGACCAACAATAAGTTCATACACTATTTGTTTGCTCAGAATCCTGGAGCTCATGTGACGATTCGTTTGGAATCAGGGTTTTCCAACCCTCCTAGATGGGTCCTCCGGAACCCATTGACCCGGTTAAAGCACCCGACATTCGCTTTTCGTCCTCTTAATTTCGTAAATAACAACCCCGCCGCGAAAAGGCAGTGAATAGGACTTCACTGTTGGGGGCTATACTTGCGTGGCTATGTGAGAGAATTTCGAGAGAGCGGACTCTCCTCACCTTCGACCGTATCATGGTATTTGGGGGGCATATATTCCATATTATCACTAATATTATTAGGCTACACCTGACCTCATCATCTTGCACCAAAATATAGTGGCTGTAATGCTGGGTCAGTTATACCAATGGCCATATTGTACGTAATTTTGTGTATAATTTGATCAACACTAAGAACATGCTACTAATTACCATTCAGTGTTTTAATTTAGTCGCTTGTTGCCATTATTCATTAATAGTTAACACTGTCAAGAATAATTGCTGTGATTTTCTCTTAATATCTAATTTAACGTGAATTTGGGCTTACATAATAATCTGTCATACATTCAGTTGAAACAATTTTATTTGAACTTATTTCGAAATGTTTAATTCATTGATAAATGTTTTATCTTGACACGTATTGCTTCCTCTGTTATCGTCACAATTTGAGCTTTCTGAAAACCTAAGATCGTGTAGACAATTTTATTCTCTACATCATCAAACGTAAACTCGTGTTTTTGATGTGTCTGCAAAGTCATATCACAACACTTTATTGGGACTTATTTTTTAAACTTCTGATATGTTACCACGAGTTCAGAAACGCAACATTTTATTTTTGGTTCAATTAGTTACTCACCTGAAATCTAAATACTGTAAACTATTTAGGGAACGTGTGGAAAACTGACTACAGAAGGACGATGGATGTGATAGTTTTATTCCTGGTTATGTCTTCTAGCTCCTCAATTCACTTCTAAATGTTCTATTCTTCAAGCCTGATCAGTATAGGATTTTAGTTTTGGCCAAAGCTTGTTATAAGTTTTTTGGTAACTGTGTATTTTGACTTTCAAATAAAGCAGAAATGTATGAAATCTGTTAATGTGATTTTAGGCAATTATGCCTCACTTTTTGTTTATCATTGCATCTTTATTTTAAGTGTTCATAACATCATGTTAAACTGTATAGCTTAGTGTTCCTGATATTATATACTTGCCAAGTTTGTAATCAAAACTAGCAAATAAGCAGATCACTCATTTGAAAAAATTTAACGCAATTAACAATTTGTAATTCACTATTCTGGAAAAATCAAACACGTGAATAGAAACAAGCCGGAGCTTGTCACAATTATTTAGCTGCTGATTCTATCATACTTTTACTCACCAGTCGTTTATTATACTGATATTCTACGCCATTACTGTCTATTTAACCTATAGTTCATATATATATTCGGAGGCGCTAAAAATGTTTGCGACTCTGGAAACAATCAGACTCCAGTTCTCAGTGATCATCGATGATGGTATTAGTTAAATCACACTTCTTTACAGACGCTTTTCAAGAGAATAAGTATTACATCTTTTTCATTCTGAACTTTTGGCCGTTCTCGTGGGTAACCAGAAATATTTAATGTTTTTTGTTTTTGATAGTCTGTTTATTTCCTTAAAACACAGTTTTAAAAAAATAAACGAACCAATTCAGCGACTGATCATGCTTCATCATAGCTTCTTATCTGATATTTCACTATTGGTTTCGCCCTTTTATGTAATCAAGCAATCACTAGTCACATTGTTCAATAAGCTTATATTCTCATCACTACATCTTATACTTACAGGCTTTACTGTCGAGACCTAAACCTTCAGAACAGGAGTTCAAACGTTTTGAGCGACCCTTGCCGACTAGAGATGAACATCTCAAACGAATGGCATCAGGTGAACTTTTCGATGTCTTAGTAATTGGTGGTGGGGCAAGTGGTGCTGGTGTTGCGTTAGATGCTGCATCTAGAGGTAAGTTGAAAAAGTGAATAATTTCAACTATGCGCCCAAATTCTTGTCATCACATTTATTGACATAAACAAACATAATTTTTTGTCCTGAGGTTTACCTTCACTTATTCGAGGTACTAAGAGAATTTCTAAATCTTACATTGTTTAGATGACCGGTTAAATTTGTCGCATCAATAAATACTTTCAAATTTAGCTTTCTAAATCTTCAAAAATGTGGGTAGGGTCTTCTAATTAATAGAAACTAGTAATTTAAGAATTTGGGTAAAGTGGCTGAAGGCTGGTAGCAGAAGCATTTATGCAATGTGTTTTATCATACTGCAAGTTTCAAATATGCTACTGTGTTCTTATATGGCTTCATATTACTTCGTTATTCCCTTTTTTGTAGTGACATGTTTCCCATTATTATTGTTAGTATTTTCGACTCAGCCTTATGATTTTTAAATATGACTAATCGAATCAATACACCATTTTTATTTCGTTATTGGTCTTTGTCGTCAGTCAATAATAGCTGTTTATTTGACCCCGTTTTTGTCGTTAAACCGGTTTCAATATCACCGTTTAATGATGAGTTTTAATTAAATACATTGGTTAAACCCTGTGTATCTCTAACATTAAATGTTTAGTTTCATGATGTAGTATTAGTTATTTGTATTTCTAATACAGTAGTATTTGATTAATCCAGTGGATTCCTTGTGAAATATCAAATAATGATGTTTCGAGATGATTGCGTACAGAAGCTGGAATATCGAACGGACAAAATACTAACAATGTTATAATCTTATACTTGAGTACTTATGTAGTTAGCAAATTGAGAGAAAAGCACATTTACTAATAATGGAAGAGAATTAGTGAGACTAATTAATTACTTTCGGTTTCTTCCAGTAAATTATGCTTAAGATCTATCGTTTGAATGGTATTCAGTTAGTTTTTGCCTTATAATGGGTGATACATATTCATCTCAAGAATAATACTTATTCTTCAGTTATATAAAACTGTGAAATCGTATAAAAACCTATCCTAGGCAAACATTTACTGCACGGCCATTTTTGTATTTTTTTCGAGTGAAATTTTTTTAAATCCCTTTTGAAAAAGTTTTTCATCTCCATCTTCCAATAATTTTCATTCTGTTTCGTCCAATCAAATAACTAGTTCTGAGTTCGCTATAATTGGTCATTTATTTCCTCAAATCGATATAAAACATCAGGACATGACGACAAAGCACATTTTCTTACAATTATGGACGGTGGTAACATGTGAAACACGAGCTCTGTCGTTCCTCACGTTGTCACAGAAACCGATAACCTGTTCGTTCTTGAGCACATTGTATCTCGTAGCGTCTCAATCACTTGACGAGCGCCATGAAAACTTATGAAACAGCTGCGTACTGCCATTATGTGGTGAGGGATTCTCATTTACATAGAGATCAGAAGCCGTATATTAGATTCGTATGTTGGAGAAATGGTCGTAGAACATCTAACGGTTCTTCACAGCCGAGTAGACGAACGAGGTAATTTGATTAGTGTTATTATAATTTTTCATTAAGGACTACCGTGAACACTCAATGTCCTTCCTTCATATTTTGTAAGTTACCAACTGTCAAAATAATGTCGATATGGATGCAACGTTGAGCAATGACGAGGAAGGAATTGTTTTAATTAACTCAGAGGACAAAATACTGAAATATTCTGAATAAATTTTGCATGTACTATTGTTAGACAGTTTAGTGTTCGTTAGATGATATTTCCTATACGAAATCGTTTACTTAAACCGTATATCTGATAAAGCTCAAAAAGCGTTTACGAATACATGGACGATAATCACATAATGAATACCAATCTTAATTGAATTTTGATAGCTTCATCAATTGACCTTTGCCATGGAAATAAGAAATTGAAACAAAAGAATTTAAATCAAATTGTGGGTGGCCCTGAAAAGAGCCTTTACTCGTTCTCTTAACAGTTCCGAATTTCATGGACAAAAAAGTTGCTATGATTCCGTTATAGCGTCGCACATGGGACAGTGGATTCCATGGACGTGTGGTGATGGGTCGTAGGCACAAAATAAATGAAACAGTGCTCCGTATGGACAAAAAATCCAGGCACTTCCATCAGCAGTCATTTTCATGTGGCGGTTGCGCAAGATTGCAAATATCACAATGTCTGTTATCATACGCGTTTTCGTCATTGTCGTCGTCTTGTTCTGTGAACTCCTCTGAGTTAATTAAAACAATTCCTTCCTCGTCATTGCTCAACGTTGCATCCATATCGACATTATTTTGACAGTTGGTAACTTACAAAATATGAAGGAAGGACATTGAGTGTTCACGGTAGTCCTTAATGAAAAATTATAATAACACTAATCAAATTACCTCGTTCGTCTACTCGGCTGTGAAGAACCGTTAGATGTTCTACGACCATTTCTCCAACATACGAATCTAATATACGGCTTCTGATCTCTATGTAAATGAGAATCCCTCACCACATAATGGCAGTACGCAGCTGTTTCATAAGTTTTCATGGCGCTCGTCAAGTGATTGAGACGCTACGAGATACAATGTGCTCAAGAACGAACAGGTTATCGGTTTCTGTGACAACGTGAGGAACGACAGAGCTCGTGTTTCACATGTTACCACCGTCCATAATTGTAAGAAAATGTGCTTTGTCGTCATGTCCTGATGTTTTATATCGATTTGAGGAAATAAATGACCAATTATAGCGAACTCAGAACTAGTTATTTGATTGGACGAAACAGAATGAAAATTATTGGAAGATGGAGATGAAAAACTTTTTCAAAAGGGATTTAAAAAAATTTCACTCGAAAAAAATACAAAAATGGCCGTGCAGTAAATGTTTGCCCTTCACGAGGACCAGTTCAAATCATCATTACTTACCTGTAGTTTACAATCTGAAAAAATTGTTGATATTTCTACACGACTGATACGTCGTCTTGATCGGGACCCGATGTCAGCACTTAAGGAAGTTGCTGAAGAATATCAACGATTAACAAACCTCAAACACGACACCAACCTAGTTCATTGCGCTGGTCAAAATAGGTTTGACAGTCAAGCAGTTCAAAGTAAAGTTTTCGCAAAAGGTTTGGGGCATTATACTACAATGAAAGTAAATCTCCACCTGAAAATAAAACGCTAATCCATTGAGGTTTCCTCATCGCCAATTGTTGTGTCCTGCTGTTAGATTTCAGTACGGCCTATGGTGATGTGGATTTAGGAACGAAAACGATTGAGCTTCTCTAATACGATCGGTTCTTTTCGGAACTGACAAAAGTCAATTATACTCAACATATGAAACCTCGACGGCTAAGACAGAAAGAGGACAGAATTACAGGTAACTTGATATATGTGGTAGAACTCAAACGAAATCGGTACGGAATTGTTACTATAATAGCAGAATATGATCTTCGAGCATGTAGTAATTTAGCGAACTAAAAAACAAGATGACCAATCAGAGAGTAAAGGTTATGCGGAAAATCGAATTGGTAGAAGGTGTGCGAGCGGTTATCGTTCTAGAAGAGATCCTAGCCCTTTTAATAAAACATGACTACTCTTGCTACCCCTTTGCCACAAATTCGTCTACATTTTGTTTGAATCGATCGTAAAAACTGCTTAATTCTTTTTTACACATATATTTGAATTTTCTGCATAGGTAAGTGGGAAATAAAAAAGATCACCATTCTTTCAATTCATTTATGGTTAGATGAATAAATAAATATTTATGCTTCCCTCATATAAACACCTTCAATCAATTATTGTTTTGTAAATACTAATTTTCTCTTCGTTCTTTTTTTGCCTGAAGGTTTATCAACATGCCTTATTGAAAGATTGGATTTTGCTTCGGGTACCTCCTCTCGTTCAACCAAACTTATTCATGGTGGTGTTCGATACCTACAAAAGGCTATATTTAATTTGGATATTGAACAGTTTCGTATGGTTAATGAGGCACTTAGTGAACGGTCTAATCTAATCGATATTGCTCCACATCTAGCCTATCCATTGCCAATCATGTTGCCCATATATAAGTAGGTTTATATAGATTTTTGTCATTTAAGACTAACTAAAATTGGAGATTTAAACCATTGATTACCAACACAGGGTTTCAGATGTAATATGCTCGTTTCCAAATTCGAATATACTGAGTTTGAGACATGACAAGGTCGTGGGTACGCACTGTTGAGAAGTCCCGTTTTAGGATGAAATGGCTATTCATTGTAGGTAATATTCATCACGGATTAATCACAGTTGGAGTACATTAAAAAACGAAGGGTATTGGACAGCTATTTTATCCCACCATCCTCGGTAATGCAAACCCACAACCAAGAGTTCCAACTAAACGAACACCTTTGCACAAACTTCTTTTTTACACATGGGTTCAGTTCAATAAGATGGTTGTCAATGCTTTCAGCCGTATGCAATGAGCGTATTGGTTGAGCATAGAGCAAACTAGATTGATCATTTAGAAGTCTGTATTCAACTTAATTTTCACAATTATTATAAATATAAGTGATAGATCTAACAAAAAATGCCATCACAGACATTGTAATTTGAACTACTCGTTTCTTCTCATTCTCACTCAACACAGCTGTTGGTATTCATAGTGATCCTGGAATTCAATACTAACCATGCAGTTTCCTTATAAAAAAATTCACATTTAATGTTGTCATTGTTTTTATTGTCAATTCTGTAGATGGTGGCAAGTTCCGTATTATTGGGCTGGTATTAAAATGTACGACTTAATATCTGGTGCTCAAATACTAAAAGCCAGTTATTATCTTAATAAATCACAGGCATTAGAACGATTTCCTTTATTGAAACGTGATAAACTAGTCGGTGGGTTAGTATATTATGATGGTAAGTTAGTTTCTAAAATGCCTTATTTAATACTGCGTTATCCTTCCACAGATATACATCTTTCAGGTTGTTTTATAGTTTTATTGTATTTGTTGGATTTTGCCTCTTAAAATCATAAACAATGTTCATCACTGAGATCTATAAGGTTAGGATTTGTCAGATATATGCTCTTTAAAAGAAATGTAAATCATCCATTCATTCTTTTTATTGTTATATACCATTATACTCCTGGGTAAATTTTATCTATGGTTTGCTTTACAACGATTGGTTTTTTTAAAGGTTATTTTTCATCACGAATTAACTTCACCCATAGATCTTATAAAATGAGGGAGGACTTTACTACCACTTCGTCCTAGTTTGTTACTTTTTGCCAATAAGCTCCCATGATTACGCAAAAAAATTTAGATCCGGATCTAACGGGTATCGCGGTAAGTGAAATGCTGTTAGCATTAATTGATCGTCAGTCTACCATAAACTGACTGGATTTGAAATTGCACCACTTGATGCAAACCAAGTGATTCTCGTGGTTATGCGTTTGCCCTTAGATTTGAGGTTCTTAGAGTAGATCACTGGTGGAGTTGTGAGTGCCCATCGACATAAAGACGTATACTAGGACGAAACAACTGTCTATTATTTTTGGTTTCTGGTGGTACCCAATCTCATATCAATCTGTGATGACTGCTGCTTGCAAATTAAGTCAATCACCACAATCTCCTTCAAATAAAAATAGTTTACTCTCTTAATCCTGATTCGGTTGATTAAAAAAGTCGCGGTTTCCTAGAATTTTGAAAAGTCTATCTCGACTATTTTTTATAGTATGGATATGGTTAACTTAAATAAGTTTTTAGCGGAAACTGTTTAAATTTAACTAATCTTTGCTAAGAGTTTGTTTTAGATTTTACACATATAAATGATTGATTACTCTGAAAAGTAATTATAAGTATTGGTCGTGCATTATACGCCGACTCTGGGACCAGTTGGAAAAAGCGGATAGGTGGTATGAAAGAAAGCTGTACAGGGCTGACTTCTGTTGGTCCTTCATGACTCCCTGATTAAGATCCTAGATGTGGTGCAACACAGTGGTAGATACGTTATCAGACAGCTCAGAATCAAAACCAGTGCGCGATCCTGCTGTAACTTTCTTTTAATTTTATAAAAGTGAACGTAACTTCTTTAGCTGAAGGAATTCTTTGTGGTTGTATTTTTGCCAAGTGAAATGTTTCCCCCATTATTATTTATTTATTTATTTACTATTTCACTCTCATACACTAATTTCTGTTCGTTGTTGTGCTTTTTATTATATGCACTTTACATTTTCTATCTATTTCAAAACCCATCTGACTGGTCACAATCACTCATTGTCCCAATATATAAGAGAGGGTTAAAATCATCCTGTGACAACCATAGAGAGATTAGTTTAACTAATATAGTATTTAAAATACTAGCTTCGATAATTATCGGACGCCTAACTAAGACTAGTGAACTGCAAACACGAGAGAATCAAGCTGGCTTCAGTCCTGGTCGTGGCTGCATCGACCACATATTCACCATTCGTCAGGTTCTAGAACACAGGCATACCTATCGGCGTCCGACGATGGTGGTCTTTCTCGACTTAAAAGCAGCATTTGATTCGGTAGACCGCGAGATTCTGTGGCAGTGTCTGTCATTGAAAGGCGTACCTCAGAAGTACATAAACCTTGTGAAGGCTCTTTACTCGAACACTACTAGTCGAGCAAGGGCTTATGGCGAACTGTCATCTACTTTTGCAACCTCAAGTGGTGTCCGTCAAGGCTGCCCACTTTCTCCATTTTTGTTTAACTTCATCATAGACCTATTGATGGAAATAACACTCTCGTCGACTGAATTCTCGGGTATTGATCTCCTTCCAGGAGGTCCACTTATCGACTTAGAATACGCAGATGACATAGTCCTGTTTGGTGAAGACGCTGATAGAATGCAGAGTCTTCTGGCAGCACTAAGCAACAATGCCAGAATGTTTGGGATGCGCTTCTCTCCCTCTAAATGCAAATTGTTGCTTCAGGACTGGTCTGCGTCAACACCTGAACTAAGGATAGGGAGTGAAGTGGTCGAACGCTCCGACAACTTTACGTATCTCAGAAGTCTGATCAGCCCTAATGGGTTGGTGTCTGACGAAATCTCAGCACGGATTCGAAAAGCTCGTTTGGCTTTTGCCAACTTATGTCATCACCTATGACGAAGGCGAGATATCCGTCTATCAATTAAGGGATGAGTATACTGCGCGGCAGTCCGTTCTGTTTTAATTTACGGCAGCGAAACATGGCCATTAAGAGTAGAAGACACTCATAAGCTACTAGTATTTGACCACAGATGCCTTAGAAATATTGCTGGAGTCTGCTGGGATCACCAGGTAAGTAATAATGAGGTTAGACGCAGGGTACTAGGGAATGATGGTAAATCAGTTGATGAGGTTATGAATCTTCATCGACTGAGATGGTTGGGCCACGTGTTACGTATGCCCGAACACCGATTACCACGACGTGCAATACTAACCGGCGTTCGGGATGGTTGGAAGAAAGTTAAGGGCGGCCAAACCAAAATGTGGCATCAGTGTTTGAAGTCACTAACTTCTGGTCTGAGCCATGTTGATAGATGCAGACTACTTGGTTGGGGTCCTCGTGACTATCGTAACCAATGGTTAGAGACTCTTGGTGACATGGCTAAGAATCGATCACAATGGCGTAGGTGTATACACTATCTGTCTTCTCTTAAACTAAGAGATTAGAATCGCTTCATATCTTTCTTTCTACTAACTAATTCTTTCTTCCTGTACTATAGTCAGTCAGTAACAACGTAGAACTTCGTACGTATGTACATCAGTTCGAGTTGCCACACCACATCACCACAGAGATGCAGTTGTCGATTCAAATCACGTAGTGGTAGAGGTAATAAGAGTATAAGCAGTAATCGGGAAGATTAAGGTTTGGAGATGTTATTCAAGGAGTATAATCCAGTGAAATAAATTTGGAAAGAGGAAAAAAGGGACATGAAGAATTCAGAAGATTAGAATTTGGGAGAACACAGAGAGTGGATGCACCTGCGCCATTGCAAACGATTTTGAGCCATGTCATTCAGGGTCTCTAACCATCGGTTGCTATCATCTCGCGGTCCCCAACCAGGTTCCTGTACTATATCCTTATATACATTCTTTTTTTCATATATTACCACCATTGAATTAACTACTTTTATGAATCTGATGTTCAGCTTGTTGTGTTAATGAGGTATGGCAACTTAGACCGATGCAAATATATGCCTGGTCCTACGTTGTAGCTGACTGACTGACTCATTGATATTGTGCGGCTCATATGTATTTGGCACCGCCTTGTACCAATGTTTATATGTTCAAATAGCTAGTACTCTTTGATTGTAAACAATCCTTTAGCAGACATCAGTTCGTGATGAATTTTTATCAAATTTACATTCTGCAAAATCATCTTAACTATTTCTGTTCATGATCCGAGAAACATTTTTGTGCTACGTGGTTGAAAGTAATTCACAAAAAACCCTTAACCTAGGTTTCTTGATGTTTGGCACCCATAAGATGCACCTGTTACCCTAAAGGAACTAACGTCTAACGGATTCAATCCTCTGTCATCCGACTTCATAGTCAGAGAGGTTAGAATTAAGCTACTCAGGCCTCAACTGTGATGTATTGCACGCAATATTGAGTCAGTTTGAATAGTGATCACATTTGAACTTGACCGATGGGATTCAGTCAACACTAAGAAGTGCTTAGCAAACATAACATTAGTCACTACTCAATGACCAATTAATTATAAATAAAAGCTGTTCTTTTTGTGGCATTTTTAATTGCAAAAGCTTGACCTGGTTAATTATTATCATAGTGCTAATTGTTTTTAATCCGCTTATTCTATCATTTATTTGATCAGTGTTAACATTATTCGGTTTAGATTCAGACGCCCTTCAAATCGTACTTGTAAGTAGTGGATATACTGCATATATAATACGGTAAGAAAACAACAGTGTGTTTTTATCACTCAGTAGTTGTTGTACATCTACGTACTTCACTACTAATTAAGGAATCTCGCTATTATCAAAATAACTTTAACATAACTATTGGCTGAGCACAATGGGTATATCTTTAGCATTGTTCTATGAAAAACAAAACAGATTTGGTCAAACCTTATACCAATGATAATTAATTTTAAAGTCAACATTTACTACATATTTAGGTTACATTCATTACAAATTGATCTTAGTTCGTTTACCATTAGAAACCAGGGGCAATAGACAGCTGTTTCGTCCTAATTTGGGACTTCTCAACAGTGTGAAGCTATAACCACACCAGGTAGGGAACTTGGTACCCTTCTGTCTGTAGGAGAACACCTTGGCGAATTCAATTAATTTGCAACATACCGCGGCGATCATTCAGTGTTGCTAGTAAAACCTATTTCACCTCATATCTGTCTGAATACCACTAGTCATGATTTCATATTACATATCTTGATAAAAAAATAAAGGTCCATGATTGTTTATAATTTCAACAATTATGGGTCATTATTTACACTATTTATGAGGATAATATTTTAAGTGATACAATTCTCAGTTTATTGATATGAGGTTGAATTTCATAGTGTCATGAACCGTTATAAACATAGTTGTATTGGCAATGTTCTCTAGATCTTTCTAAAAAATTGATATTTTATAGATTAATTAGGTTTTTGAATTTTACGACAGAATAAATTCTTTAATTAACACAAAACCATAGTTATTTCAAGTTGAAATGGGCAATAACATTTAAAAATCCGTCCAGATACATTTTTATTAGTGTTCGATTACATAACAGTGTTTATCGGTACTATTAATCAAATTACTTATATTTTTTCGACCATAGTAAACTCATTCTATGTGTGACATTTTTGAATCTAGATTAATCTAGTACTTGTTTTGAATATTTGACATGGCTCAAAATCGTTTGCAATGGCGCAGGTGCATACACTCTTTGTGTTCTCCCAAATTTTGATCCCCTTATTCCTCCCTGTCTTTTTTTCTCTTCCCAAATACATTTCACTGTACTATACTTTTTAAATAACATCTCCAAACACTAATTTTCCGATTACTGCTTATACTCTTATTACCTCTACCACTACGTGATTTGAATCGACCACTGCATCTCTGTGGTGATGTGGTGTGGCAACTCGAACTGATGTACGTACGTACGAAGTTCTACGTTGCTACTGACTGACTGACTGACTTTGAATATTACTAAAAATCACAATGTTCTATTCTTGTTTCATAAACGCTTATCTCAGTGTTAAGGCTCTCTTTCTTCTTTTACTATTATTTAGTTTATATGTACTTGTTCAAATCAGAACTTAGTCAAATATATTTACAATATTTTCGTTTTTACTATTTTTTAGTAAATAATACTAAATTATTGCACTGATACTGATAATAAAATAATTTAACACATTCTATTTTCCATAATAACAGTTTTTCTTAATCAGTTTAGGTAACACAATTAAAGCAATTTTAGCTGAATATAATGTATTATTTTTCTTCCCCCTAATTTCTCATAATCATTATGTACTGAAAGTCTTTGTTTTAATCATCAGACAAAAAACTTGATATATCCTTTCTGTTCGACCTTGGGTGGGTTTAGAAAATAACCAGAACTCCTTTTTATTCGAAGTCATAAGGAAAATAATGCTCAGTATGTAATTTTAACCTACGTCGTCCAATGTCATAATCAGAGATATTCCCACTGAGCTATTCATACTGTGACTAACATTCTGTAAGACTGGAATGTCTACAAATTATTTGATTACTTAGTAATGTTATATATCTTGTCATTACTGATGTTTTAATTGTGATAAAGGTGAAATATAATCACTATTCTAAATTATATGAAATTATAGTGCACTTTATTCGGTCTTAGATGGTTGAAGAGAGTTGGTAGAAGGGTTGAGCAATTTGCTAATAACTTCTCTGACCGTGTGACTTGTTAAGACATGTCTTAATCTTATAAAGAGAATTGTTCCCCTTGGGACTGCAGACGGTCCTTCCGTACGCCTGTCAAGGAATACGAAATCAAGGTTTTATGACTCCTTAATTATTATTTTCATTTATTTAATACCAGTTAAAAAATTTGTTGTAAATTATGAGTTTACTTGTTTAGTTATGAGAGTTAACTGTAAAGCCCTTAATAATAGCTTTGGCTTTCGTTCCTGTCTGAACACTATGATTTAGGGAGTCGTCATTCACTAAATGTTACTAACCCAGCGTACTTATGTTTCATTCTGTTGGATTTTTTTAAAGCAAGCTATCCGTATTTTTGATTCTTTCAGCTAATTGTTTTTATTTACTTTGAATTTTCTGAAATGTCCTTAACTTTATTTTGAAGAGGCATGTATTATGTTTGTTTTATTACGTAGAATATAAGATTACTAGATTACCTGGGTTTTCAAATATCTACTTCACTTGAAGTAATGTTTCTTTTTAAATTTGTCGATACTTGTAATCAGTGTTACCGTATCACCACGTGTGCTCTTAATGTACTAATTTCTTGGAAAGCTATTAATCCCCGTTTATGACGTAGAAGGTAATATCTCATGTTTATTTGTCAAACATATTTTATTTCGTGCCTACAATCATTTAACCTAAACCTTATATACTCGTTATTCTTTTCTCTACGTATCAATATATATGCGTATATAAATAGTTCATGTAGTAAGCCTTCAATACCTTTCCGATATTAAAGAATGCGATTATTTGCAAAATGATCTTTGTTTTCTATATTTTTAAAAATAAATGATGCCCCTCAGCATAAATACGTAGTAAATATTATCATTTTAAGGTGAAGAAAATCAAACTTCTGACCCCATTGGAAACCGTGAATAACTGCTTATTTGTTGTTGGGAATGATAAATTTTTCACCTGGTGATCAGGGGACTCTGGAGCTAGTATGAATCGAGAATTATGGATCGTAGATTCAAAATGTTATCACATTTTTATTTATATGCATTTCCTAGATCAATTTTACAACCTATCTTTATGTTGAGAAAGGTAATTATTTGATCCAACATATTATTACATCAACATCCAACTACCCATATAAATAATCGCATATTTTCTTTTTTGCTCATTCACAACAATTATTTCCTCTTAAGGTCCAGCTTCTGATTTTCTCTTCCTTTTAAACTTCTCTTTTTCTCATTAACCTAGGCCAACAAGAGGATGCTCGTATGTGCTTAAGTATTGCATTAACTGCGGCCCGTTATAATGCTGCGATTGCTAATTATGTTGAAGCTGTTGAAATAATTAAACAACCATCTCGAACTAAATCAATTTCATTGAAATCAACATTGGAAACAACATCTGAACCAGTACCTACAGTATCAGGTGCACGAGTTCGAGATAGATTAACTGGTAAAGAATTCACAATCAATGCTCGTTGTGTGATTAATGCAACTGGACCATTTACAGATAGTATACGACAAATGGATGATAAAGAACAACCTACTATTTGTCAACCTAGTTTAGGTGTTCACATTATTCTTCCTGGTTATTATAGGTAATGACATTTTTATTTTGGGATAATAATAATAATTCATTTTGTATTGTTTGTTTGAATCTTCCCATTGATATTTAGGACTGAAATTAATCAGTTTCTTATTGGCATATTTGCATCCTGTGCGGATTGCCTCAATAGTGACTTAAGTCAAAGGTATTATAAACAAAGATGGATGGTGACTAGCAGTGAAATCCAGGAGACGATTTTCGTCCTATATGGGACCACACTGCACAAGTTAGTGGCTATCAGGACTCAGTAGATAAATGAATAACGTGATGGCCTTTGAAGCGAACGATATTAGGTTCAAGTCCTAGAGTGAACATCAACTCTGGGATGCAGGTAAATTCAGCTGACGAGTCTCGAATAGGATGAGACGCGCGTCCTGGATTCCACTGCTAGCCATCGTCCATCTTTGTTAATAATAATACTTATAACAGTAATATTCGTAATAATTTATTTTGATGCTTCATGCTATTACATAAAAAGTCAGTTTCTGATAATAACTGATTGGTAGTGTTTTCGTATGTATTTATTATTATGCTAGTGTTGTGACATATGCCTGTTGATGTCCAAATTAAAAAATGGCAATATTCTTTCTAATAAATTACACATCCTATATTGTTTGCTTTGATGAAACGAACAGTAAATCACAAGAGTTCCACATAGTTTTCACTATTATCTATAACTTTCTAATCATTTATTCGATCTCTCTTTTGTTTTCGATGTTAGAAATGTTTAATATAATCCCTACTTTTTATTCCTTTATGCAACGATTCGTTTCCTTGATACGAAAGTTTTCTTCAGGTTTGAGATTATTTGAATTTATCTGTTAAGTTTGTAATTACTGTTTTTGATTTATGATGTTAAAAGTTTCCCAAACAGTTGAAAAATCTCATATAGATTTTTAGTTATTATTACTTTATTGTAGCTTTTTACACATAAATAATAAAAACCGAAATTGATCTTGGTTTGTTTGAAGTGACGTTCGAAATATATTGAAGTATTAGAGTTATTTGAGTCATTTCAATCTAATAGGAAACTTGAATGCAAAGTTAAATAGGTTCACTCTTATTTTCTACTTTTTTAAATTTATTAAGTGAAATGTATTCTGTGTAAGTAGGATTTGTAATGAGAATTTTAATTTAACCAGTATTACTACTCTCCATTTGGTGTAGTTCACTTTTCTCATTGTTGCGGCTAGTTCAACATTGACAGTTTAGGACTTGGAACAACTGTGCATCGATTCAAGTTACCACATCTCTGATCAATGTGGCAAGAAGAAATTAATAAGATAAAGAAAAAAGAGGGTGAAAATTTTAATAATATATTTTATATTCACATTTAAAAATGACTGCACCTGGTGAATAAAACATACATACTGAGATGAAAACCTTAGTAATTCATTTATAAACTTTCGATTTTCATGTGAAAACTGCATATTGGTTATAATCGTATTGTTTTTTTAACCATAAATTATTTATTAACCAAATAGTGTTTTCATGAACGTCGATACACTTTACTTTCAATCATTTTTTTAAAAAGAGAAATGAATTATCATTTCAACTTACGATTATCTTGAAATTTTCTCGTCCAACTAACTTTCAATGATCATTTTTGCTGTCCACTTTTTTCTCAATATATTTAATTTTTCTAAAATTACACTCCTACCATTGGATGTCATATGATCAATCACTGTCATGCGTCACGTGTATAACGTCGATAACTTTAGTTCTGATAAATAACACTTTCAGAATAGTATGTAGATGTATGTTGAGGGGAAAATAAATATCTGGCATTTATTGAACCAGAATTAATATCATGTGTCTCGGATGAAATTGGATCATATGACTATGAAGTTCATTGGTAGAAATAATTATTGTCCTTTATACACAGAATTTCGTTCTATCAGCTAACTGCATTGTTTTTCTCCTTTGAAATACCGTACTTTTATTACTAGTAATATGGTGTTATTAATATTAATAAGCAATTTTATTACTTTCATTAATTCAATCATTAAATTCACAGACTTATGAACTGGAACATTAAATTTGTAACTTCTCAGTCACTAGCTTCTTCATGCAAAAAATACTGCTTTTCTAGAGTCAAGTAAATTTTATATAAAGTAGTAAAGATGTTTTTTTACAACAAATTATCAGCAACTTCTAACATGGGAAATGCTATCGTCAGCTATACTGATGGGATAGGTATTTTAATAAGTTGAGTAGGAAAATCGATAAGACTATAATTTATGGACGAACTAATGAAATTAAGGGTACCAACTCTTTAATTTCTGTGCAAAATTCATTCATTCGTACAGTTACAATCGCATTTCGGTATTATAGCTGATATCAGCTCGTAATTAGTCGTCGGGCCACCTATCACAGCTCGCCATGTTCACTAGCATTGAAGACAGATGGAAGAAAGGTAGGGGCAGCCAAAAAACGTGATATTATTCCATAAAGTCACTAACTTCTGGTTTGAGCCATGTTGATAGATGTAGACTACTTGGTTGGGGTATGCGCAACTATTGTAACCAATAATTGGAGACTCTGGGTGACATGGTTCAGAATCGATCACAATGGCGTAGGTGTATATACTCTGTCTTTCCTTAAACCGTAAGATTAAAATTACTTCATAACTTTCTTCCTACGAACCACTTCTTTCTATATGCATTATATCCTTATATGCAATCTTTCTTTTATATATAACCACTACTGAAGTAACTATTTCTATGAATTTGGTGATCATCTTGCTGTGCTAATGAGGTGTGACAACTTATTTATTTATTTCAACACATAGATATTGGTACAAAGAGGCACCAAATACATATGCGCCACACAGATCTCATTAGATTTGTGTGAGGGCTGTGATACTGCCCGGGTGCTCAAACTTGATGCGATGCATATATATGCCTGGTCCTACGTTGCAGATGACTGGTGACTGGCGGACTCAGTTCGTAATAAAAACTCTTACTTTAGTTCCTAACCCTAAATAATCACTAAATCCCGATCTCAATTCCTCATACTAACCTTCCTTTGACCTTAGTATGTTTCATGGTCACTATGGCATTGCTCAGAGGTCGTCCATAAACTATAGTTTCTCCGAGAAATCACTGCATCTCTCAGTTCTACAGAATAATATTTTCCAAATATTCTTCAATTTTGTGTATGAATTTTTCTCACTAAGACTTAATATTGAATGAATACTTGATGTATATTACAAACAACTGAATATATTTCTATAGAATAGATGGATTATAGATAGCAGTGGAATCCCAAATGTGCATTTCATCTTTATCACAACTCGTCAGCTGGATATATCTGCGTCCGAGTGTTAATATTCACATCAGGGCTCGAATACCTTACATTTTGTTCTGAACTCTAACGCGTTTTCCATTGAGTAGGTTACTGAATCCAAGTGTTCACCAGCTTAGCGATAAAAAGTTAATTCGAACTTTTCCTAATAATGATATAAACTAAACGTCGGTTAGAAGTAATCGATGTCAGAACCAACTATCATCCATATCATTGTGGCTTCGATTTCTACTCTGTTTCATCAAATTTAAAGCGTTCCCATTCATGTAGTTCTTGTAACTTTATAGTTTAATACAGTGTATGGCTTAAACTGTCTTTTTGTGGTTTTTACTTCGTTGATTGAATTTTCGTTTTGTGCAAAAGTTCTTTACAAATCAATATCATGACAAGTAAGACATTTTGAATATTGATGTTCGTTTGGTGAGCATGTCTAGTTACTCACCATTTTTTCCATAACACTAGTTATAATGCTTACCAGATTAAAATACACCTAGCAAAGAAATATGTTTAAGAAAGATATGAAATTCACGTTAATCGATCAACTAATTGTGACCAATGTTCAATCGATCAAATTTCAGTTTAGTTATTGCCTTAAGTGACTCGACGTTTCAGAGTTCTTTATTGATTGCTGTGTAACCTTAATAGATCAGTGGTGACTTCCCTAACTGATGCTTGGTGATTCAAGTCGAAAGATTTTGTGCTAAAAGAATTGTTTGAATAAAATTCATATGATATGTCATTGTTGGCAAGCGTATCAATTATTCAGTTATTGATATTCAGGACTGAATTTTTGATCAATCTATGTGCAACGTGTGCAGAGTACTACGATATAACCACATTGTCACTAGGTTTTTTTTAGAATAGGTCGGCAAATAACCCATTGGTATTTGAAGCAAAATGTTTTTATGTTCGAGTCCTGGTGTGAGCATGAACACTGAAGTGCAAGTATGTCTAACTGACGAGTTCCAAACCAGGTAAAAAGGACATTTTTACTTCCAGCACTAGCCACAGTTCACATTTGATTAAAATATTCTCATAATATTTTTTAAGGTATGTGAATCAAATTAAGTCGAAATGGTATGCTTCTCTCATAATTTTTTTTATCTAATAGATAACCTTATGTTTCCTTTCTTAATTCAATTAAAACGTTGTTCATTTCACTTTAAATCAATAACACTTCATCTTTCTTTCTATTTAAACCGTTTAGTTGCCAAGATCGTGATTACTTGCAATGTATCACTTTAGAATCTATTTTAAATGAATTTTTTAAATTACATATAATACTTATTTTATTTTAGGGTCATTTATTTAAAATAACTTTAGCAATTTTTAACATTTAACAGAGATTTAAAAGATAAAATCCAGGTTCATAGTTAGTAGAGGGTCATTACATTGGTGATAATGTATGGATTTTCTTAAAAAATTTTCTCCACGTTTATTTCGTCAAATTATGTTAAACTGTTATAGAAACATACATAAGATCAATGTTAATTAATTAATTATAATTGACAATGCGTTCGTTTATTCTATTAATCTGGATTTGTTCAAGCTATTCATTTTTATAGTTAAAAATATCATAATCTTATTATTCAAAATAGAATAGATACATCATATACATTGTGATATCTGTTATATGTATCTGTGTGTGTATGTTCTAAGCGGTTTTATAAACATTATGAAGTTGATTTGACGTAACAAAATGGAGTTGTTGTTAGAACAAATATCTCTGTGAGATTTTACTTATTTTTTTAGTTTATAGTGAATTAATTTTACAGAAAATACAGTAGAGGAATCATTGAAATTTTCCAGTGATTTTTTTAATATTATTGTTGAACGAAATGTTCATGAGAAATTGACTTTTTCATAACTTAGTGGCAATAATATAGACGTAACTATTAATAAAACCCTTTGTAAATTTAAGAACTAAACAATTCTGCATAAGTATGAAGTTTTGTATTTGTCACTCGTAAACTAATAAGTGTTTTCTTAAGTAAAAAGTTATTCTTTAGGTATATATTACTAATCATATTCGTCTATTCTTTGTTCCAATTACAAATTACTTTATATTACATAGTAGAATATTATGTTCAGAAGTTTTATCTGATTAAAATTTGATCGGTTTACTGATATTCATGATTCAAAAATTGTTGGAAATGTAGTAAACTCATTCATCAGGTACTTGGATTTGAAGCACACTCTAAGTATGAGTGTTAGTGATACTACTCAGTTTCTCAAACTAAGGTGAACGGAATAGGATTCGAACCAGGGAACATAGTGACTGAAAGTCGGATGCTTTAGCCACTAAGCTATCGCTTCATTAAATCTATTCGTGATATTCTTAGATATTTGTTATTTGGAAAGGCATCATAGGTTTGATTCTAGTGAAAGTCGCTTATTTTTTCTAATAACTTGTGCTGAGTCAAAGTTAGAAATCCTCAACACACAAATCGTATTATTGCGATAAGCTTTTTTAAAATGCATTGAAATTGTAAATATTTCATAAATATTATAAGATAAATTTTTCAGTAATTTTGGCCATTCGTTATCAGTTCCAAGATTTTTCGTCGAGTTTTACCCCACACATTATTTTTCAGTACATTATATATTTAATGCATGAATTTAAACGTACTCGCCTCCAATATAACAATCAATGTATTGTTTTCGCTTATATTTTTCTCAGTAGTTAGCATCATGATAGGTTTTTTAACATTTTGTGAAAGCTCATGAATACATCGTACGGTTATTATTAGCTTGAAAGTTTTGAAATATGAATCAATTTTGGAGTATTCGCATAGTAACAAATGAATTCGCATTTGATCAATTCATTATTATTAAACATTATTCAAAAAAGTTCTGTCTTATCTTATTTCTGATTGTATTTTTAGCCCTACTAAAATGGGTTTACTAGATCCAGATACGCGTGATGGTCGTGTGATCTTCTTTTTACCATGGATGAATTATGCGTTAGCTGGCACTACAGATACTGAATGCAATGTTACTGATCAACCATCGCCTTCTGAAGCTGAAGTGAACTTTATCTTGGAAGAAATTAGTAGTTATCTTTCTCCGGAAATCCAAGGTAGGTGTTTAGTTTTGGTCTTCCTTTGTGAGAATGGTTCATCAAGTGCTCGTATAGTACCCTTTAGTTTTTTTAATCGCTTTACACCTGTGTAAATTTGTGGTTACATAATATATCAGGTTACTATTTAAATTCTCATTTTTAAGTAACTTCAGTACATATATTTTTAAGACAGTCGATACCGTAGAGAATTATACACAACGAATAACTCAGTAGTACTGTAGAGAACAAATACTTAAGTGGAGATGAACAATTTATTGTTCAATGTACAATCACACTGTGGTTTAGTAAAATATGGAAGTCATCCATCAAATACATCATTTGCACATTTTCTTTAAATTGTTTCCTACAAGCTTCATTGTTCCTTCATTCCTGCTTTTATCTTGATTGATTTTAGTTTTCTTCTCTCTTCTCAACCTTCTTTTTGCAGACATTCCACTTCTGACTGGTGTTACATACTACTTATACCTGAAAAAATAAGTAGCATACGCCACTGTACCACCTGAGATTGTAACACTTGTTAATGCAGTTCAGAATATCACAGGGAATATGTTTTTTATTATATTAAACAGTGGTTTAGTGGCTAAAGCGTCGAGCATTTAGCTATCAAATCCCTTGCTCGAACCCTACTTCATCTGCTGTAGTTTGGGCAACTGAATAATATCACTAGCCGTCAAACTACGAGTGTAATTCATATTCAAGTAACTAGTGAATTAATAAACTTAATTTTAAATCATTAATAGTGATATCGATCATTTGATTTTATCATCTCAATTTTTCTAGTTCATAATCTTGATTTGCACCACTCTTAGATGTCGTCGACACATTTCGTTGCTTTCGTACACAGTCACTTTGTTTCGGCCGTGCAATATTTTAGTACCATCTTAATCCAATGTCCTGGGAACCTTCTTTTACATTTAATGGATAATTACAACATCTTATTCAACCATTTTACCATTTTCATATGAATGTTTGCCACACTAAGCCGATATGTTTTTTGCACCTTATTTTAACCATTTTCACTTCTATAGGTACGTTAAACTTCATTCTAAGTTTTGATTTTGGAACATATAGGTTATAAGCCGTTGAATAATCGCTTCAAATGGTTTTTCCTGTTCTTATGAAGTCAATAAAAGGAATTAAGCGTTAAATATCAGTTTCTTTAGAATTGAAGATTTGTTTTCGTAAGTTGCGCTAAGTAGTACAAAACGTAGATTCCTGTCTCCCTAACAGTTTTTCCACTCGCTTTATATCAAACTACGTACATCGGTATTCTGAGTCAGTGAGGGTCAGAATTCATTCTAATATATAGAATTTGATGAGGAATTATAGATGGTCAACTGTATATTGGTTACTATAATAGTGGTCAGTTAATTTACTTAAGTAACTCAGTCACTGAAAAAGGATTAAATAAGTAGCACATACAATTAGATATCTCGATTTTAAACAATATGTCAAGTTACCGAATTATACCCTTAATCTTATACCACATAAAGACCTAGCTAATTTCAAAATTTTTGTGTTTTCTTAGCTTGAGTTTGAGTTACGAACTTTTCATTGTCTTCCCAGATAAAATCTTGTGCTCAAGACATGTGAATTTATTTTACTGTCTGTAAGTAGCTTTCAGCATATCTCTTAACAATGGTTATGTCTAATTATTATCAATAGGTGTACTATTACTGTTTGTATACATACGTTTCAATTGATTGCTTTTTTTAATGTAATTTTCGGTATTAAACATCACCGTTGTCTTTTTTCTTTAATAATTTTATGTATTTGGTTTTAGACTTTGTAGTTATCAGAAACTGTCCATATCATCATATTGTAATCAGATATTTCCATCAAATTACTAGCTATAATTCAGTCATTTAAAAAACGGCGTTCATTTGTTTCCATATTAATAATAATAATAATTTTCACATATAATGACTTCTCTATACTCGGAGCTCAATTACTGTCAAACTATTCGTTCTAATCTTGACGAATATTCTTATAAATAATAATAATCGTTTTTTCAATATTACAATATGGAATTATCAGCGTACAATATTTTAAAGAGTTCCTCTTTGCAACGCTGGATATGCTCCAGGTTCAAGGAGTATAAATGTTTGTGATCCGGCCATCCTTTTCAATTTGATTATTGTATAGTGTATAAACTAAGTATGGTATTATTTAGCTTTGTACTTTTCTTTGATTGTATGCATTCTGACGTACATTTATGTCTTATTTCACCATTATGCTTATACATTAAGTTAATATCTTGAGGGATTTTCTCTATTCTTAAATAACTTGAATATTTGCATATTATTTTTTGCCTGCTATTTGATTAATAATTCATTTTTAAAATGAAGTCATAATTGGTTGACAAGATATTCTGAATCTTATCTACATCTATACAATACACTTGAATAAACAGTTTTGCTTAATTAATATTACATCATCATAACTAATGTTTTAGTTAAAATGTAACTCAATTTTTTCGTTTCATTTACTTTTGTTATTGCTATATTTGTTTCTTTGTTAATAGTTCGTCGTGGTGATGTACTGTCATCTTGGGCAGGTATTCGACCACTTGTTCGTGACCCAAATTCTTCTGATACACAGTCGATTGCACGTAATCATATTATTGATGTTTCGCCATCTAAATTGATAACAATTGCTGGTGGTAAATGGACAACTTACAGAAGTATGGCAGAAGAGACTGTGGATAAAGCGATAAAGGTAGTAAACAAGTTCTGTCTTTATTTGAATAGTTCGCTAATAAAAGTCGCTATTTTATTAACAGTGAATCAGTTAATGAGTACTTGTTTATGCAGTTAACTTTAAGCTGCACTGTTTTTGTAAAGTTAAGTAATACTATGTGGTTATTTAAACTGAGTTAGGTGAAATGTGATATGATACTCAATCGTCAGATCATTTAACCGCTAAGTTATCGTCATTTGATAAACACGGTCCTACATTTTATACCCTTAATAGCTGATTGTCATTAGAATTAATAATTGTTTTAATATTTTCATTTTGTTATTACGAGAGAAATATACAGAAATTTATCAGGAATTATTTTATTCTGTTTTATTAATTAACTAGGTATGTGATCTTAAACCAACTGGTCCATGTCGTACCAAAGGTCTTCTTTTAGAGGGTGCTCATGGTTGGTCACCAAATCTATTTATACAAATTGTTCAAGAATATGGTATGGATGTTGATGTGGCACGTCATTTAACTGGGATTTATGGTGATAAAGCTATCACTATAGCTAATATATCCAAACTAACTGGTTTAAGATGGCCAATATTAGGTAAAAAATTACATCCTGAATTTCCTTTTATTGAAGCTGAAGTAAGTTAATTTTGTCATAAAATTGATAATTTGTATAATAAGATGAATAGTGCTATTATTGTCTGTGAAACTGCCTTCACTTTTTCTACATATGTATCTTATACTGTATATTTTACAAGTAGTTTGGGAACATGTTATAGAATGTCAAACCAATAAATATGCATACTATCATTAAGTTTTTTGTTTCAAAATACCTTAATCTTTTCAACATTGCTTGTCTGTTGAGGTTTGTTTTGTACTGATTTGGCCGATCTATTCTAGCTGTCAAGTTTGTCTGGACTGCTGTTTCATATTGATTGTCACTATTGAATACCGTTAGTTTACGAACTAACAAGATGAAAGCTCCCTGTTATCACCATTATTTCCAATGAAGTTATTGTACAGTTAAGTTAGTTCAGCCATACAGATCATCATATAAATAATGTTTATTAATTGGTTTCCAAGTGAATTCATAATCTGCAACACTTACTGGTGTCAATTGTCCATTGTGACACGTTTCACTTTTATCCGTATATCACGTCTAAGGAATTTTCATTAAGAAACGACATCTGCTTGATAACTGTTGAATAACAGCGTTGACGTCATTTCGTGATAAAAATGTGCCTTTCCATATTATGTTCATAAAACGGCGTAAGTCTGTAAAACTTGTGTTTGCTCGCTAGTGGTTAGCTTCGAAAGAACTCTCCTAAAATCTGCAAACTAGGTGCTTATGTATGGTTAGCATGTTGATGTCCGCACTATTTCATTTTTTAAGTTCGAATCAAATGGGAATATGCTCATTGGTTCATTTTTCAATCAGTCAGTCCTGGTGGACGAATTAATTTACTGAAAAATACTTAAGTAAATCTTACATAAGTACTGATGTTTTACTACCGTATCTATTTTGTTCGGGTTCATTGGAAAGTAGATTGTTTTCTCTCAATTCTTGTTCTAACTTAGGAATAGTTAAATGAAGTATAGAGCTTCCAGGGAATAATACTTAACAGTACATTATTATGTCCCTGGAACACTTAACTGACTTGGCACTCGTTACTGAAACTGAATCAGACAACGTAAGATAAGCACAACGACGATAAATCTGGATTTATTTGGTCTCCATAATAAATCAAAATGTTAAATGAATGCTCAAATTTTTCTATGATTTATTTACGGTCAGATTAACATTTAGATACAATAAAGAATATGTATGTAAAAAGTAAAACCATATCATCAACAGAAATAACATCTTTGTTCATTAATATTCCACTGACAGAAACCTATTACATATATAAACAACCACCAGAAAATAAAAGAAAGGTACCGATCACGATAAATACATCGAAGGAGCTTCTGTTGAAATGCACTACGAATATCTGCTTCATGTTTAACAACAAAACTTATAGACCAGTAGATGGAGTAGCAATGTGATCACCCATAAGCCTGATTCTCGCTAATATTTTTCTATTCAAACAAGAAAATGGACTGGTGGGTGATGTCCTAAATAAGCTAGATTATTGTCATTGTTACACGGATGAAATACTAATCGTGTGTGACGAAACTAACGACAAACAAGAGGTTTTGAACAGTTTAGATCACGTTCACCCAGCTATTAAATTCACCAGCGAAGAAAAGAACGATAATAGAATATCTTTCCTTGATGTATTACTTTTTTGGGAAAATAGACGGCTCCATAAAAACAATCGTATTTAGGTAGAATACTTGGACGGGTCAGTATACCTATTTGCACAGTTTTAAACGTCTTCAATACAAAATAAATCTAGTTAAATGTTTTAGTCACAGAATCAATGTATTATGTTCTGAGGATAAAGTAGATAGCGAAATAAATAAACTAAAGAACACAATACGGCATATTGGCTTTCCAGATAATGTCAGATTTCTATCAGAAGGTAAGAAATAACAAACTAATACAATCAGCACGAAAACCCTCTATCTAAAACTCTATTTAAAAGGGGACATAGCAAGTGACATTTCAACAAGTCAACTCAAAAAATCTGTTGAGAAGACATTTCATGCAGCCAAGTTACATGTGACCTTCTCAACCAAACCAATAACTATGCAAAAAATCAGGGATAGTTTACCGATGATGATGTGTGTACACCAATTCGACCACTCCTATACAGAGGGCTTTATCCTTTCATGTTCGTGAGCGTGGAACAGTATCACTTACTTACTTACGCCTGTTACTCCTAATGGAGCATAGGCCGCAAACCAGCATTCTTCAACCCACTCTGTCCTGGGGTGTAACAGTATGGCTGGGAAAAAAGAGTCATTGAATCTTTTAACAACGCCATTCTTTCTCACTTGGTAGATAGTGAGCATCATATAAAAATACATGAAGCTTTCACTATTTTGTGTCGAGTTCTAAACAATCTACATATCTGAAGCCATCTGAATCAACTCCGGAAAACCTAACTTATTTATCCAGAAGAGATATAGTCAGCCTTTATGTTCACCTTGGTACACGACTGAATCACCAGATACCTAGGCTGGATGTTATAAACTTCTTATTCCCTCTCCTCATTCCCTATGTGTTTCTATCTTTCTTAACCTCCACGTTCACCTTTCTCAATTCGCAGGAATTCTTTTTTATTACAATTAACCTGACAACACCCCTCTTATTGCATATTATATTCACACAATGTTGTTATTATTGTTATTATTGCCTCATTTAACAAGACGAAATTCTCCTACTATACTGTTCACGCGACTTATTGTATTGATATTATATTGATTAATACTTAACACTTTATTACGAATCATTCTGACCTTTGTTAAATGACCCTACTAATTGACAAATAACACGATTTCGAAGCATTTATGTCGGAACAAATGCAGGAGTTCACCCTTGTCGAAATCACTAATGCATATCTTATTTAGGTCTTTATAAAATATCACAGTAATTATGGACTTCTAACTGTAGAGCCTGACATGATTTATTTCTTGAACCCATACTTAAAATATCATACAATTATGCGTCTATAACCAACAGATATAGACTTGACTATTTAGTATTTACTCCTTCCCACAATGTGATTACTTTTTACAGATGATTGGGGAGAAAAATCAATGTGATGTGTTATTCACACTCCACTAGGTTACGTCACTCATTAATCACAAAATCATACATGAAATTTTAAAAAAAAAACCTGTTTAATGTTTTTCTAGGTGGAATATGCATGCCGAGAATATGCTTGTCATGCTGTCGACTTTCTTGCTCGTCGTACTCGTTTAGCATTTTTGAATGTACGAGCTGCGGAAGAAGCTTTACCAAGAATTGTTGATTTAATGGGTGAGCATTTAAAATGGAACAGTGAGAGAAAAAAGCAAGAAATGCGTGAGGCAGAGGTAAACTAGAATTTTGATAAGATATTTGTGTAATATATTTGCTTTATTTATTTTTTCTACCGTATTACTAATAGTGAAACTGCATACATATTTTGTTCATGGCAAACTATACTCGGTCTTTTGAATCAACGTTGAGTTTGAACTCGTGACTTACTTGTGTCTGTTACTCGTCGTGGAGTATAAGCCGCCGACCAACAATCTTCCACCTACTTTGTCCTTGGCTCTCCTTACAAGTTTTCATCAAGCGTTATTCATTCTTTTGATGTCTGTCTTCAACTTATGGTGCGATGTATTCTCTGATTCGCCTCTTTTCTTTTTGCCTAAAGGATTCTAATTTAGGACTTGCTTTGTGATTCACTTTGATGATATTTGCTATGTGTTTCCTATCCACCTATCCTATTCACATACCGAATATACTGAGATCTAGATTTTTCGGGTATTATAAAGAAATATTTTAATGAGCATATTTTCAGCAAGCTCAAACAGCTCATGGTTTTTCTCCGTCTAATTCTGTTTTTTACACATTATTAGTTAATTACAGACGTTTTTGCGAAGGATCATTTGCATATGTCACAATTAGTGATTGATAATTTTCATGCAAATGTATAATTTTAATTAAGAAACAGTATTAAAATTCATAAACAGAAATGGGTTGTAGTAAACACTGGAGTTCAGGACTTGCGTTTTATGCTTCTCTCAGTCGATGTTTACTCAAAAACTTGAACCCAGTACCGTTCGCTTTAAACACAATAAGGTTATCCACCCAGCTAAAGTTCAGACAACCATGATCTTGTGCACTGGGGTGAGGTTTAATTTTCGTGTATTATTTATTTGGGAATATTCAAATTATCAATACTAAGATTTGTTAATTAAGTGATTAATTTTGAGTAGCAGACATTTCGAATTACGATGTTGGCTAGTTGGTCGCAAAAAATAACTATGGTATTAATTTACTAGAAAGGATTGAGAAACTGAAATGTCCAGGATTTGTGTAGTTGTTTGTAACTGAACGATTTTTGTATTTCTAATGTATGTTATGGTATTCATATGTAAATCTAACTATAAACCTTTTTTTGATCGATAGTCATCATAACATATACTAGTTTTTCTAAGAAATATAATCCAATTAATTATAAATTCGTTATACCTAGTTGTATCAAATTTTTCCCTCACTTAATATCTACCATTTATAATTTCATGTACTTCATAGTCTTTTGAATAATTTTATGTGTCGTGGTTCAAACCATCGAGATGTTGAATGGTTAATTTTGCATTCTGTTGTTTTTATTGAACGGTGGTTTGTAGACATCGTAAATTCCACAGCGTAGAATCGTCTGAATTTCGTTGTTTTAGGTAACTTGCAATCAGTAGTAAGAATGGATCCAACCAGTCAGTTGATAATGATTCAAGAATAATCATATGACATATTTGTGTTGTTTGTTATGGATATACTCCATAGTCATCTGACAATTTTATACTAAGCGAAAACCTCGTTTCCACCAGTGTGGTACAAAGGTATGTCACATCTTATTTGGTTTTTGCATACTTACATCTGTTACCCCTCATGAAGGAGCATAGGCCGCTCACCAAATTCTCCATCCAGCTCTGTCTTGGGCAATCTTTCCTAGTTATTTCCAACTGCTATTCATCCTTTTCACATCTTCCGATTCTCGCCGCAGTGTTCTTTGATCATTCTTTCTTCTATTTCCCTTCACGATTCCATGATAGGGCTTGCCTCTCAGTCAGTCAGTCAGCTACAACGTAGGACCAGGCACATATGTGCATCTGTCCAGGTTGCCATACCGCATCAGCACAACAAGATGAACACCGGATTCATAGCAGTGGTTAGGTCAAAGGTAGTAATATGTAAGAGAAAGATTGCATATAGAGATATAGTACAAGAAGAAAGAATTGGTTCGTAGAAAGAAAGATATGAAGCGATTTTAATCTCTTAGTTTAAGGGAAGACAGGGAGTGTATACACCGACGCCATTGTGATCGATTCTGAGCCTCTGATGCTGTTTGATGATTTCCGAAATGTGCGTTTTATCCACCTCCAACGTCTTCTAATTTTCTCTTCGAATGGAAGCTGGTTTGTCCTCTCTCATAGTAGGGTGTTGCTGATGGTATCCGGCAACAGACATTGAGTATTTTGTGTAGGCAGTTGTTTATAGATACTTGTACTCTTTTGGTGATGGTTGTAGTAGTCCTCCAAGTTTCAGCTCCATACCGTAGAACTCTCTTGACATTCGTATTGAAGATTCTCACTTTGCTATTAGTTGACAGTTGTTTTGAGTTGCATATGTTGTTCAACTGTAGAAATGTTGTCCCTATTTTGTCAATCCTCGCCTTGATGACTGCATCTGATCCTCCTTGTTCATCAATGATACTGTTCAGACAGGTACGTGAAAGTTTCCATCTGTTCCAGAGTTTCTCCATCAAGTGTGTTTGGTTTGGTTTGTGTTCTCCGTGTTGAATTTGAGGATCTTGATTTTTCCCTTGAATATAATGAGGCCTACTAATGCAGAGGCTGCTGATACAGTGGTTGTCTTAATCTACATTTGTTGTTCATGGGATAGAAGGGCCTATTCATCTGCGATATTCAAATCGTGTAGTTGCATGCGAGCTGTCCATTTTATTCCGTTGGTTTTTGCATACTTTTTGTATTTTACAGCCTTAATGAATACTTTTAAAAAAGGGAGTTGTGTCGTAGTTGTTGGTATACAAATTATCTCACTTCTATCTAAAGCATTTGTTGATGTTTTTGTTTAGAAAGACTGTGAAAACCTCACTAATAAATCATCTGGTTCTGGGATAGCTTATTATTTAGAATTTTTAATATTTACACAGTTTTTCATTCAATCCATTACACGCCTAATAATGAGAATATGAACATAAGAAACGCTTTGTGGGAATGTTATTATTGATTCCTCTCTGCGTTTTAGTTAGATACTTACCATTTGAAATAATTATTGAGAGGAAAAATTTTATCGAACAAATGTCCATGAATGGACGGTCGTATTGAATGATTAATTCATCTAAACAAATGAAAATTTATTGTCCTGTAAACTTTATTAGATTAGCAAATGCCAAAAAATCTTTCGCTTGGCAAAAATTCATCCATTTACTCAAAGACTCAATTGATTTCATCACATGTATCACTGTTAACTTATCTATGGTATTTACATTAAGTTGGAATATTTTATTAGGTTGGTAGACAGAGGTTTGATGGTCGACGCTAATAGACAGAAAGCTTTGAGGATATATTTCGTGTTAGCTGTTCATTTATCAGTAAAGCGTATTTATAATCTTGAGTCAGTTGTTGCTCTCCACAGGATTAAACCATTGCGTTACAGTTCGTATGACTTTGATCACTGAGCTTTTCATGTTAATTGATGGAATTAATCACCATAGATCACGAAACTGATCACTACTAAGTAACAAATTAGTTTATAATGTAGGAATCTCAAACAGTTAGTTGGCTATGAATGCCCAATAATCCCTCTCTCTCCGTATATATATATATATATATATATATATATATATATATATATATATATATATATGAATTCCGAAATTAAACTTTCCTGAACCATGTGTATATTTTGTAGTCTATTCCTAGTGGGAAAAATTGTTATAATTTGTGTTCGTTTTGGCTAAATTTTATGGAAAAGTGTTTTTATTCTCTTAAAACTTAGGAAAGCAAAACTATATACAAAAATATAAAGAAAAATATCTTCTGGTTGCACAAACTTGAATAATTTTTTCTGTCTGATTAGTTACAAATCATATTCATAACTAACGATTTAACAGGAAAAAGGCTTGTCCGTGAATACCAGTCCGACATCTGCAAATTAATTTACATAATTTTCTTACAATAACCTGAAAAAAACCTAATGCATTTTCACTGTATACTTTAGTTGATCTTCATATGGAAGCATAGATTAGCCACGGAACCCATCTAATTTCTTGTACTATTGATAATACGTGTTGTTACGTTTTACGCGTATATTTTCTTCATCAATGGATGATTATGATGATGATAATGACGATGAATAAAATGATGATATTAAAATGTTTTTGCTCTAATTACTACCAAATGTTTCATCTTTATTTCAGTGGATAAAGCGTTAGATGAAAACGAAAAAAAATTATTATTATCTCATATATTTTTCCTTACTACACAAAAGATGTTGTATGACGACTTTCTTCAGGACTGTGTTGTTGGTGATAATTTCGATTGAATTCTAACTTAAAGATATCATTTTTTACGGACTAACTCCATTTGAAGAGTAAATAATATTCAGAGAAAATAAGATAGTTCTTTTGTCCTGTATTGATGCTCTGTATTAGTGTACACTCATCAAGAATCGAACTTATTAGCAGTCTTTCAATCAGTAATTAGAAAGATGACCAAATTGAAGGGTCTTCACAAACCTTCTATCTCAATAATGATCTTGTGCTCAGTGATGGAGGATACCTGTAGGAAAATTTTCGAAATTTCTAGTGCATGCATATGACCAGTGGAGTTCAAACATGTTACTAGTAAGGTATGTATGATTGATGGAATGGAACGATACAAGTTAAAAATAGAAATTACTGTATCCTGAATTGATTGGCTTAAAATAAACATACAATCTACAAAATCTCCATGTTTTCTATTCACTTCCTTCTGAGGTTGTGAGTTTGTACATCTACGAAGTCTTAATTTAAAGATAAAACAGTTCAATGTATCTTCGTTTCTAGTGGTTTTGAAGCTGAAGTTAGTTCATCATGGAAATTACCTTTCTTAATTATATCTGGAAAACGTCACTTATTTTACATTTTATTTATGATCGATAGTTGTACAGAAAACTTTTTATGGATTTAACATATACAATGTCTCACTTTGGGTAATGCAATTTATATATATATATTACGTCATACATCGTAAACAATTTCTTGTCAGTATTTATTTCAAATGTGTCTGGATTCCTATTGATTTTTGTAACTGATAGCACATGTTTTCAAAGCATTTTTACACGCTTGTTACATGTGTATTTTTCTTTTTATAGAACTTTTTAAAATCTGAAATGGGTCTTGGTCTGCGTGTTATGGAAGGTGTTCGTATGGATTTGACTATTGATGAAATTAGTAATCTTTTACAAAGTTTCCGTAAACTTGATCATGACACTAAAGGATATGTTTCATTGGATGATTTACGCAAATTTTGTACTGTAAGTTGTTATCAAACCAGGATATCTTGGTGATTTTTTTCTGTATTCAATTTGTTAATTACCAACGATATTTCAGAAATACTTGTAAACTGTTTTCCATAACTCTTGTTACTGTGTACATATTTATTCCCTAAAGCTTTAATGATTCATTTGAAGTTTAATACGTTAATTATTTAAATTTTCCAAAATACAATAGCTAATCACTTTTTTTCAATCCATTCAATATATATAATTTATTACAATTCTAGTCATATGATGTAACAAGACACTTCTTTCAAAATGATGGTTTCAAAATTTTTCATGGCTTTGATGAATTCTTAATTTCCGCATCATGATTAAAAAATCATTAAAAGACAGGAAGTGCCAGACAACTGTTTCATCTTTGTATAATACTCATCAGTGCTCATTCATTACCCTATGACCTTGAGGCTTTGCAAAATGTTCCTGATCTTCAAACCACTATGTTGACATCCAATGGTTTAGATTTCAAACTTCAGTGGATCTCTAAACTCACAAACCTCCACAGTATTCTATAATAAATTTAGTTGGTTTTAAACGCTTCATCGTTGTAAGTATTAATCTTCTAAAAGTAACTGAATGTTACAGAATTTTGACGTCAACGTATGTCATAACATGATTTAATTCAAAACTAATTATTTTGTTTCAAGTATGTTTTTAATGAATTTATTTTTAAGACAAAAATAATGTCAGAAGGGGTTTGTGGAGATTTTTAGAAATTTTCACAGATTGAAATCATGAGTCAGTTGAAGCTAGACCACCATTGAAAATGTATTTATTTATGGAGTTCTATTGAATTTGGTAAATTGGTTTTGCCAAAAATTACAAACTAGATTAGTATACAATAAATATTTTGATAATTGTGTAGACAATGTACCTGATATTGATTCCTCTCCATCTTGTTTAAAGTACAATTTATTCATGTAATTCATGTGTAAGGACAATCGATTGTATAAATGTTTCATGTAATAAGCAGATTCCATAAAATCACTGTTTTAGCATTTTATTCACTCCTCCTATTCCACTAAATCTTGGGCTTTGAAATTACTTTGTATTTTTCATTCCATGAATTTACTATTAATTACTAACAATAACTTTATTTCAAATTATGTTTAGTATGGTATTAAATTCTCAGAATATTATCTACGTCTAATGTTTTCCACTACTGTAACATTTATCTTGGTAATTTCATCTCACTATAGTGATACAGTATAGTGACTTGGATCGACACAGATGAGTGTCAGCTTCTATTTTGTTTATAACTAACTGATCGGATGATTATCAGTTGTTGTTGAAATCTTTTTAAATAAGCTAACTTTCTTTAAGCTCCATATCTGAATAATAGTAATAATAACAGCAATATTCTTATTGTATTTTATGAATCTTTTTACAAACAATATTTATTAACCTTTTTAGGAATCTGGCGAATATGTTAGTGAAGAAGTGTTACAATCTACTTTGAATACAATGGATATTAATAAGAATGGACAAGTTGACATGTCAGAATTCTTACAAGTATGTTAAAATGGAAAAATTTTCTCTCTGATGTTTTATTTATTTATTTCATTGGTTCTCGGAAAATAATTCTTAGTTCCCTTTATTTTTTCATCATTTTCTATCTACATATTTCAGTTAATTCTCATAAAGAAATTTTATTTTTAACATTCAATCAGATACTTTACTCTTTTCAAGTTGAAACACATTAATGCTTATGTTGTTTGAGATAACAAGTCAACATTCTTTGTTTTTAGATATTTGGTTGTTAGGTTGTTCAAATTTTAACCGATAGATTTCAGATTCAAAAGTCGATCCACTTGTTAAGGTTTGGATAACCGGCTGATATTATTGACCTTCATACAAATAGTGTGATTAATTGTTGAATACGTACAATTACACGTAGTAGTAATTGAATTAAATTAAATTAAATACGTTATCTCTTTCATATTAAATAATAACAATCCTATGTAGTTAAGGTGATATCGATTAGCTCCTGTTGTTTGCAAATATTTTCTACTTGTTTTAAATTATATACACATTCCACTTTTCTATAGGGGCATATTGCACTGAACACGTTTTTTCACAAAGTATTGTTATCTCAAGAAATTGAAGTAAAAACGTTGATAAGTCAATGCCAATAAATTCCTCCAAGTTTAAGACATGATTACGAATTCATATTTCTGATTGTAAACTGCATTTGATATTTTTACCAATCAATTACGCAGCCGTTTTAATGGTTCGGAGTTATTAATTTGTATAGAAACTTACTATCATACACACACACGCCATATCATAATTCTGCTGTATGCATTTGCCTATGGTTAAGTTTCAAAAAACGACGAAACTGGGCTACCTATTGCTTTAAGTATATTCATGGAAGTTAATTTCACTCTTAAATTTTTCCACTTACCATGAAGTATTAATATTAGTGTATTATTGCATATGAATATGTAGTCCAATTGGCTTAACTATAATCGCTTGTGTTAGTTGGGGTTTTGAATCAACTGACCATAAGTTGTAGGCCTAGTTTTTATGCTAGTTGATAATCACCATCAAGCTGCTCTTCGTATATTTTGAGCTAGTATCGCAGTGTCATAGGTAGAGACCTAATTACTGAGCTATTCGGACTGTAACTACTGGATTTCTTTAGGGCTGAAATATTTACCATTCAATAATAACCAATTAGATATTCTTCTAGTCCTTAGTGCTGATCGATTTCTATCGATTAATTTCAATTTGGATACTAATTTAATTGAGTTATTATTTTGTCAGTTCAATCCTGTGCCATCGAATTTACTTTACACTACATTAAAGGATAGACATATTGTTGCTAATTGTAATCGTTAGGGTTCAAAATAGAGGCATGGGAAATACTTCTAACACAATACTTGGTCTATCATAACTAGATAAATCTACGATTAACACACAACGACACTTCAAAAATTCTAACTTCACACAAGCGAGAAGAGATGAGACTAGACTTTGTTAGCTAGATTTTCTGCCTCTAGAAAAAAAAACAATAAAGTATGTGAACATCTCAGTTTATATAATGTTTTAGAAAACAAAGTAACTAATAGGACTGCCTTATTTCAAAATTTACGATAATGTCGTGGTACAAAGGCCCACATTGATATTGCTGAAGAAACCCTGACAAATCAGCTCGAACACAAATATTTATAGATCGTGTAAAAGCCTGCGGCACGTATTTTCTTTGTAAGGATTTATATTTTCTCGTTTTTGATGTTAAGGGATGCAGTTGTCCAGTCTCTGCACCCGTTACACAAGACAGTGGCTATCTGAACTTCGTAGGTCGACGCATAACGCTTTAATGTTTGAAGATAAAAGTACTGGGTTCGATGATCTACCATGTGAAAATGAAAACTAGAATGGTTGTACACCCAGAGGACCAGTCCCGAGTGGGATGAAATAGGCTATCCAGATTTCACTGCTAGTCACTACCCAACTTTAATCAAGACTTGTGAATAAACGAAAATATCGAGGCAATCCACTCAGAATGCATTCATATCAATTGTAGATCTTAACATAAACAACAGGAAAGTACAAACCCTTTAAAAGAAATTCGGAGAGTTTAATTACTAAAATAATAATTATTCAATTTACTATCGTTGTTAATTTTTTTGGATAATTACACTTTGTTGTAAAAGATATTAATTCTTTGTCAAGTTGTTTTGTGTCATCACGGCAGTTCCTAATGCGTTCAGCTGAAATACCTGGTTAGCGGTTTTTAGCAAGGATGTTTTCTGCGGGATGGTTCCTATTAGAACTTAGCAAATCACAATCACTATAGGAATACATTTAAATCTAAATGGAATAGTGTGTTTCATTTGATACGTTGTGAACAGATTTTCTTAATATCGTGTTTTATAATTTTGCATATGCAAATTACTTTTTTATTCTCATACGAACTTTTTTTGACAAGAATTATAAATTTTAATTATGAATAGTGTTACAATATTGGCTCTTTAGGCAAGTCAAATTTATTTACCTCAGTGCCCTGTATTAATTGTAACTGCTATAGAGATGTCAGTGTGATACGTTTACGACTTGTTTTTTGTCTACGTTGGTATTATTTTACTTTTATCGATAAATTCTTTGAAACTGTTAGTGAGGTCAGTCAGCTTTTCATTACTGAATTGCGCATTCAATTTAAAGCTCAGTTTTAAAGGAAACTATTATCAACCTATTCATTGATCCAAGTGACTTTTTAGAATTGAAGTTAAGGTAGAAATCACTGTATTAAACTTGTTAATATTCTTTTCAATGGTGTACAATTTATTCAGGAAATAACACATTTTTTCAACCTAATTTTCTGTCTACCCAATCAATTCACTAAATACTGAACCGTAAATTAGAAACGTGAGCTCATTTATATGAGTAAGAGAAGTGATAATGATGATGAAGTGACCAAATTTATGTACGTAATTACGATTTAATAATAATAAAGGACGTTTACCAACGATCATTGTCCGTAGGTATGGTATATCTTTTACACTTTCTAAGTCCAGAGTACCTTTACCTGGAAATAAACGTTTCGGCTTTGGGTATACGGATGATATTGTCTTACTTTGAGACGATATCCAAGCCATGCAATGCGTACTCAATCAGTTGGCAGTCAGCATCTATGGGTATGGGATTTATTTTGCACCTTCTGAGTGCAAAGTACTATTAGAAGACTGGCAGAAGCCTGTCCCTTCACTCACTGTTGTTAGTGTCTGTGTCTGTGTATCTGTGTAAATGCTGGTGGTAGCGTGAGTAGTGAGACCAATTCACGTATAATAGAAGTTCGTTTGTGTTATTTCGACGTGTGCAGTCTTTGGTGCTTTTGTTTTGTTATCCCGGGTGTAAAGGGTTGGATCTACGACACGTGGATTAGAGTAGTTGTGCTATGTGCTTTCTAATCCTGAACTGACCGAGTTGAGGATGTTAAGTGACTCTCTGTGTTTGATCATCGTTGTCTGGGAAGTATTTGTAACATTCAGTGGCAACACGATTTCATTAATGTTAGAGGTTCTGGAACGTGTGTTCAGACACAGTGAGGATAATGCCATTGGTGTGAACATCTTGGAACACTGTCTTGGTTTGTTTAGATATTTAATACGAATGTCATGCCAACGAATTTCCCATGGTTGATTATTTGCGGACACTGGGAGTTGTTGGAAAAATCAGAGAGGTGGTCAGTGTATGACATGGTGTCGTGATATGAAAAAAGTTGTATGGGGATGACTTGAATAAGCTGTTTTGTCTCAGTTGTATTGTCAATGGATCGTGCTTTAGAGAACTAAAATGACCTAGATTTAAATCTACATAAAATTTAATAGCGTTTACATTATAACTGTTTATTTAAAATATTTCTTCTATTTTAACTTCTAGAATTACATTCCCTAGTGTACTTCACATATTTTGAATTCCGAGTTATGCGGTATCTGTTGACCGACCCTTTAAATAATGTACTAAATCAATTTGATTAGAAATGTTTTTGTGTTTAGTTGTATTAAAGTAGTGTGTTAATGAAACAGACATATTTATTCATGCTTTATTTGTGTTTTTGCTATCATTAGAACTTATCGCTAGCTTCATTTTTATCAAATTCTTATGGTTTTGAAATTGATTTTGATCAATGTTTTGTATTTCTAAACACATCATGTATTTAATGTGCAATACCAGTTATCAAAAGCTTGAAGATCTGTTCAAGACAGTTGACTGGATACTTAATGATAATCTTTTGCCTTTGTAGATTATCATTTTACATGTTTGTGAGCTATCTAAGATTTCGAGATCATTAGCAATGAATCTTTAGAATGTAGATGGACCTAGTTTTCGAAGTAAAAACGCTTCTCAAATTATTCATTCATGGTCACTAAACTTCTCCATAGTTTTAAAGATCTAAAGATCTATCTAAATAATTTAATTGGCAAAAACTAAAATATCGGTTCGCCACAAATAAGGGAAGTATCTGTCTTTCAATTTCTGTCACATAAAGAGGGGCTAGATTCTGGAATAATTTGATTATTGGTTGCTCTGAAGAAAGATATTAAATTTTATATCTGTTTTACCGATAGACCCGTTTTTACATAAGTATTATCTATTAATTTAAGTGTTTACTATTCGCCTAACGACACCTGATTGTAAATCTTGTTAATTTGACATCATCAACATCGGAGTTGGCACAAGTGTGTGTTCGTTTAAGTTGTCATCAGGACAACTTAACTGGTTATAAACAAGGGAAGCGAAGTAGAGGGAACAGTATTAACAACACTTGAATTCTAAATGTGACCAGGTTCATGATGATATAACCGAGATCGAATAAATTGAAAACCTGTGAATGGAGATTTCAAAGAAGATAGACACTGAATAAAATTGTGCTGCTATGATAGATTTTGGACTGTGTCAATTGTATCTAACCGCTAATCTTATTGGATAAGGCTCAATCAGTCAGTCAGCTACAACGTAGGACCAGACACATATATGCATCACACCAAGTCGCCATACCTCATTAGCACAACATTAACACCAAATTCATAGAGGTATTTACTTCAATGGTAGTAATATATAAAATAAAAATTGCATATGAGGATATAGTGCAGGAAGAAAGGATTAGTTCGTAGAAAGAAAGATGTAAAGCAATTTTAATCCCAAGGTTTAAAGGAAGACAAAGAGTGCATACACCTACGCCATCGTGATTGATTCAAAGCCATGTCACCCACAGTCTCCAACCATTGGTTACGATAGTCACGCAGACCCTAACCAACTAGTCTGCGTTTTCCAAAATGACTCAGACTAGAAGTTAGTGACTTCATTCAAACAAGTAGTTAGCGACTTCGTCCATATCATAAAAATGATGTTTCTCAACTTATTCAGGAAATATGCTTTTTTCACAATTTGCTACTTTAAGAGCAATAAGAAAGATTACAATCAGAAAAGTAAACATTGTTGATAGAGTTATACAGTTTCTGCTACATAAAATATACTCTAATCAACTTATTGTGAATGAATCTTGACTCTTTCGCCGTTATTGAAATGTGATGAACTAGAAATGTAGAGAAACACTTCTTATACATTCGTACTCAGATAACAAGAACATCTTCATTCTGGTCAAATTATATACAAACCTCCAACTTTTTTATATTTAATTAGCTTTGTATAAACATTTCCTTCATTCACATATCTTACTTATAAACTATTTATTTTATTCATATTTCAATATTAATCATTTATGTATGATGAAAACAACATAGGTACTACGTAGTCAACTCATCCATCAATTGAATTCACGTAATCTTGATAAACAAGCTTAACAATCATCTACGTAAGGACATTACAAAGCAGATCTACAATATTTGACTATTTTTGAAAACCCACTATTTTAATCAAAGTTTGTTTTGTGCGTGGATTTACATTAACAACAAACCATTATAATGCTTAACACTCTGCTTCTGTTACAGCTGCTTTTTGTGTTGTTGTAGAATTATCACAGGTCACTGTTGCTGCCTCTTCTTATGAACATTCATTGTGTATTTGTCATTATTTTGCTACTATTTTTGTGCAATATGTGTCTGTGTATGTTTGCGGTTGACTCTGCAGGTTAATTTTACTTTCCATAGTATACGTTTGTCAATTGAACACCATTTTAATTAGTTTACTTCACTCCCGGCTGTATAACTGAAAGTGAGATTGCCGTTAATCACTGAGTTGATGTTGTATTTCCACATTTTCTGATTAACCGATTTAAAGTTGTGATAATAATGAAAAGTTGGGTAATTTTAGAATATTAATTTTGTGTTCCTTGTTATTAGTAGATTTACCTCAACGTTAGGTCAATAAGTTATAAATTTATATATACAAAGCTTGAAGTTTATATTGGATACTAGACTGTTTTGATTATGCCAGTCCAAATGTTTATCAATGTAAACTAATGCATACGTTAGACTGATCTTTATGAATCACATATATGATGAATTCTGAAATGATGAAAATAAGAGCATAAGTGATAGCTACTTTCCAAATATTCAACAAACATACTGTAAATTTCAGTTCTCGTGAGCCAGATTATGATATTGTTTTCCATTAGTCTTTTGGTCATAAAACTAGTATGTATACTGTATAATTAAAGCTATTAGCATCTAAACAGTAGTTTTCGAGAACAATATCGAGTCAGTGACTGAGGGGTTAGAGTTTAAGTTTAATCTTACTCCACCTATCTCGATTCCAGCATACAAGTAGTACTGGTGACCCTAACACACAAACTGTAGCTCTAAGCCGATTACATAAATCTTTGCTTGGCCAATGGATGATGTTTTCAATATCATTATCAAAGACATAACTGATAGTGAAATGCTGATCACATTTAAATGTTCGTCTCGTTAAAACTACGTGAGTAGAAGCGTATGACTTAACTCTAGTTTAACCTCAACTAAGCTTTTTAATTAAACAATTTTACATTGTGCACAAAGTTTTATCAAATTTTTTGATGTGCTACCTGTTCTATTTATCAGCTTTTTGTTATTCGATCCTTTATTGCATTGCTTTTATTTAATACACTATATTGATTATTTTAGTAAAATCACTTTCTCCCTATGGTATTCAAACCCTTTTCACTTACGTAAAGAATTAATATCGTCGTCGCTAAAATCGTAGAGTTTTTTCAAGAACCATCATGAAAATACGTGCTCATATTTCTTAAGTTTGTGTCACGTTTTTTTTCTAAAATTTCACTTTCATTATTTATTTAAGATCATAATTCTGTTTTTCCTGAATAACTCTTGTTCACTTTCCTTTTAAATTACCTTCTATGAACAAGATGCCCCGTATACCGTTGCTAACAGTAATTATTTTTAATATTTCAATTTATAAGTACTTATCTCGAGCTATACTGTTAAAGAATCATGTTAGATAATTTCGTCTAATGAATGGTATGAAGTACAAAAATGCTTCATATATTGTCACCAACCAAAACTTACTACTCAGTCGTACATTGTGTCATAGTTTGAAAATACCAACTTTATAACTTACTGAAATGAAGTGCCTGTATTCACACTAACAATGTAGAAAGAAATTCAATGGGAGTTCTTTTTTTTCTAATTCTCCTATTATCGTCATTATATTTGCCTAATTACACACTTGCTTTAATGTGCATTCATTATAAATTACATAAACTTTAATTATTAATTACCATATATATAAGTAATAATCTTTAAAATTATGTCATGTCAAATTATTAACAATATTTTGCTTATTCTTCTTTTCTAGTTTATGAGTGCAGTAAAATCTGGCGTTGTTGTCAATTCACCTTTAAAGAAAGTATTAAGTCGTACTCGAATTCCTGTTTATAGAAGTGGTGGTGGTGTTTGAAAGAAAACTGTTGTTCTGTTTAGAAACTTTCGCAATGATAATAGCAATAATAAGGATAAGTGTCCCTTATCTTTACTTTTTTTCAAAAGTTAACTTCTTTCGGTCTGTGTTTTGTTCACTCCTAGTGTTATGTGTCTAAATGTGGTTGCCGATTGTGCTTTTTTGAAGATGTTGTTGAATCGACTACAAGAATGGTGCTATTATCATTAATGTTATTCGCCACTTTAATAATATCACAGATTTGTAGTTCGACTATCTTTTTTTCAATTTTTATTACTCTTATCTAGGTAAGCTGAGATTGTTGCAGAATGTGTGCATGTATGAGTGACTTATTTTAGTAATTGTGCATTTTTAAAGTTATAGCGTGTATAGATAAAAAAACTTACTTATTTTTTGGTTTAATTTTAGCTAGTTATATTATCACTATTCAATAGAATGCAAAAATATTCTTCATTCAACACTCGGAAAACTGTTTTCTATCTCATAATTGTATTTTTCGTCGTTATTATCATTAACTTTAGCTATTCATCACTTCCAAAACAGCATCATTTGTCCACCTACTACTGTCTATCACAGCAACCATTAGAAATTTTCACTCTTTAATCCTTTACTTGTTAAGAATTATGTTCAGTGTGTATCGATTTAGTTCACGAGTTTACTTTCTCGTTAATTTTTGTTTATATATTGCATTCTTTTTGTCAACTATGTTCGAGATTATTTACAAATTTTTGTTTGAGTATCCATACCTTGTGATAAAGTCAATACACTTATACAACCCTCCAAACGTATACGTGTTTTATTATACAGACAATAGAACTTAAATGTATTTCGTATTCAAGACATAACTTATCAAAGATCCAAAATCTCGTGCATATCTGACCTTCGCTGAAATTCTAACCTCAGATTTCTGAGAACGACTTCTGAATTTGAGATATTTATTGAGGTTACCTAACAATTACTAGAATACACACTCATTAAGAACGTCTGTCAGGTAAGGCTTTACTGAGAATACGAGAGTAGATTAAAAGCATAATATATTTTGTGCAAAGACTTGTCTAAATGTTTACCCATTTGTTGGACTCAACAGTTCATATGTAAAACGTTTTCTGTTTATTGATAACAATACTCAATTAAAATAAAGGAAATAGAGTCTTCACTAACATTCAGTTGGGAAGAAGTTTTTAATAATTTCTGTTTATCTCAGGCCATCTTTAAAAGATAATACAGATTAGTCAAATTGGCTGCTAATCTTGGACAGAAGAATATTGTGGGATAGTGGACATTTTATCTGCTCTCTTATTGAAATAGATCTTTCAGTAAGGACAGTAATACATTATAGGACTGAACCTCTACAGGTAGGAGAAATATAACCTAGGAATGTGTTGTTAAAGCGAAACTATTAGGTAAATAAAAATGCCTACTGGGTTACCTAAATACAAATCATCTTAATACTGGCTTTCAAATAAAGCCTATTGTCGAAACACTATACGTTTAGCAGCAGTCATATACAGCTGAGATTTTAGATGCGTTGAGCTTGCTTAGTACTGCATATCATTCAACCAGATTCATGATGGTGAAGAATATAACGGTTTCACTTCCCCTACTCCTTCACCTGTAGGTTCCAAGAACAACTGAGGTCACACTTAGGAAGATGTGAAGACGAGGCTGACCCAGATGTTGCTTGGAAGGGCATACAATCAGCTGTGGAAACAGCAGTGACATCTATTAGTGACTTAAACCACAGAGTTGCAAGGAACCAGTGGATTTCTTCAAGGTCTATCACACCGATGGATTCTCGCAAACTCGTCCCATCAGGTTCTGAACATGATGAAGAGCGAAAACAAATCAGATCTAGGTTAAGAAAAAGTCTAAAGAACGACCGTGAGCAGTGGTGGGTAACGAAAGCAAAAGAGATGGAAAAGGCGGCGACTATAGGGAACACAAGACAGCTTTACAGACTTATAAAAGAAACTGGAATTCATAAGTCAAGTGTAAGTGAGATTATTTCGGAAAAAGATGATACTCTCATCTGCTCCCAGTCCAGACGTTTAGAACGATGGGCGGAACATTTTAGAGAACAGTTCAGCTGGCCTTCAGCTTCTCTACAACTACCCTCCATTCCCAGACAATGTGAATGGAACATTGAAGTAGGTCCCCCAACTCTTGCTGAAGCTCAAGAGGCTATAGTTAATCTGAAGCGAGGAAGGGCAGCTGGTCCAGATGGACTGGCTCCAGAGGTCTTTAAGGATGGTGGTCCAATTTTAGCGATTAAGTTGACTAATATTTTAGCTAAGATCTGGGAATTAGACTTTATCCCATCTGACTGGTCGCAATCACTTATCGTCCCAATATATAAGAAAGGGTCAAAATCATCCTGTGACAACCACAGAGAGATTAGTTTAACAAACATAGTATCTAAAATACTGGCCTCGATAATTATCAGACGTTTAACTAAGACTCGTGAACTACAAACTCGAGAGAACCAAGCTAGCGTTAGACCTGGTCGTGGCTGCATCGACCACATATTCACCATTCGTCAGGTTCTCGAACACAGGCATACTTATCGGCGTCCGACAATGGTGGTCTTTCTTGACTTAAAAGCAGCATTTGACTCTGTAGACCGCGAGACTCTGTGGCAGTGTCTGTCATTGAAAGGCGTACCTCAGAAGTACATAAACCTTGTGAAGGCTCTTTACTCGAACACTACTAGTCGAGTTAGGGCTTATGGCGAACTGTCATCTACTTTTGCAACCTCAAGTGGTGTCCGTCAAGGCTGCCCACTTTCTCCATTTTTGTTTAACTTCATCATAGACCTATTGATGGAAATAACACTCTCGTCGACTGAATTCTCGGGTATTGATCTCCTTCCAGGAGGTCCACTTATCGACTTAGAATACGCAGATGACATAGTCCTGTTTGGTGAAGACGCTGATAAAATGCAGAGTCTTCTGGCAGCACTAAGCAACAATGCCAGAATGTTTGGGATGCGCTTCTCTCCCTCTAAATGCAAATTGTTGCTTCAGGACTGGTCTGCGTCAACACCTGAACTAAGGATAGGGAGTGAAGTGGTCGAACGCTCCGACAACTTTACGTATCTCAGAAGTCTGATCAGCCCTAATGGGTTGGTGTCTGACGAAATCTCAGCACGGATTCGAAAAGCTCGTTTGGCTTTTGCCAACTTATGTCATCACCTATGACGAAGGCGAGATATCCGTCTATCAATTAAGGGATGAGTATACTGCGCGGCAGTCCGTTCTGTTTTAATTTACGGCAGCGAAACATGGCCATTAAGAGTAGAAGACACTCGTAAGCTACTAGTATTTGACCACAGATGCCTTAGAAATATTGCTGGAGTCTGCTGGGATCACCAGGTAAGTAATAATGAGGTTAGACGCAGGGTACTAGGGAATGATGGTAAATCAGTTGATGAGGTTATGAATCTTCATCGACTGAGATGGTTGGGCCACGTGTTACGTATGCCCGAACACCGATTACCACGACGTGCAATGCTAACCGGCGTTCGGGATGGTTGGAAGAAAGTTAAGGGCGGCCAAACCAAAATGTGGCATCAGTGCTTGAAGTCACTAACTTCTGGTCTGAGCCATGTTGATAGATGCAGACTACTTGGTTGGGGTCCTCGTGACTATCGTAACCAATGGTTAGAGACTCTTGGTGACATGGCTAAGAATCGATCACAATGGCGTAGGTGTATACACTATCTGTCTTCTCTTAAACTAAGAGATTAGAATCGCTTCATATCTTTCTACTAACTAGTTCTTTCTTCCTATACTATATCCTTATTGCAATCTTTCTCCTATATATTACCACCTTTGACCTAACCACTCCTATGAATCCGCTATTCATCTTGCTGTGCTTATGAGGTATGGCAACCTGGACCGATGCACATATGTGCCTGGTCTTACGTTGTAGCTGACTGACTGATTCACTTGCAAATTCATTTTATATACAATCAGTGATGAGTTCAAGGATTTCCTGAACAATATCCGAAGAAATTAAACAGACAGCTCTTATGAGGTATCCAGTCTTTAGAAGGCTACTAGAATACGTGTGGATTAATGTTAATGAAGAGGGGATTACTGCAATCCATGATATGGCAAGTTATGGCGTAATCAATAGGAATGGGAATAACATCTTTCTAAAATCGTGTGTGGCATGTATTCACATCATCTGTGTTTATTTGTATAAATATTGTAAATTTGTGTTCACACCGGAAGCTGCTGAATTATTATTAAGTAGAACTCAGTTCAAACTGTATAAGTATGACTTACTCAAACTGTAAATAAATCATAGAGTGTGATGTATTCCTAAATCACTTTGACTTATTTTGAGAGTTAAATATATCCCTATAAACAGTCTTCGTTGCTTTTATAGTGCGCTCAAGTTGTGTAAATCTAGTCTAGGGTTTTTAGAAGCGACTAGGAAATCAAGTTGAACGTTTATTTAGAAGATTTATCAGTAATAAACAATATTGGTATTGGTTACGTCTTTTGCATGTGGTCGTTGTTTGAGTGCATATATTTTGAATTATGTGTAGTTAACTCTCTCAACAGTGACCCTGTAAGCAATATTATGAGGCGAAATGAATTTTTCAATGCTCTCAGTGGTTGGTATAGTTTTTTATATATGATTGTGCCACGAAGTGGTTAGGATAAAATAAAGATTGTTGACAAGTCTTTCTGATGTAAAAGACTCATATAAACAATAAAATGACCGTTTTCAGCTAGCAACTGGCTTAATCTAACGCAAAGCAGCTTAAGACTGAATATGCCACGGGTATTTCGAGCTTGACAACAATTTACCCCGTCACGAAAAAATCACAATATATAAAAATTAAAATAAAGTAATGATATATGAAACCCCAAAAAGGAACACACTCATAGTTTACAAGTTGGTGATCGTGATCACATCGAGCTCACCAATGAAGATGCCACAGGTATTTGGAGTTTGATAACGCTTTAACCAGTAACGTCTACTATGAATCATGCCCATCTAGTGAAATCACAAGTTGGAGGCGAGGAGGTCCGAATATATATTTGATAGATTGATCTAAACTGGCTAGCGGTTGCAGGAGAAGTTGAGTACGGCGTTCCCACTCGTGATCTGGTGCGGATGCATGAATGAGCATATCTGGCTAAGTGAGTCCATTAAAACTAATGTGCTCAGCATCCAATGCTGAAGACTTACAGAGCTATTTATTTTGGG